CGTCATCTTGGGGAGGTCGGCTATGGCGCGTCCTGATCATCCTGCCACTTCAAAGACTTAGTAGTAGAGTAGGTAACCTTGAACCTTTTTGGGGCAATAGAGTCCCCTCATAATCCCAAAGGTTAACCTTTGGTTCCTCCAGGTTACTGGACAACTAAGAAGACCTGCAGGCGTGCCCCCCCGCAAAGAAAGCACGAAGATGCTCCGCATTGTGACGCCTGCTCGGGCGACCTAGGCGCGCAAACATGTTGATCTTGGAGTCGAGCGTCTCTGCAAGATCAGGCATCAATTTCCAAGATGTTGCCACAAAAGGGCAGTGAACAAGTGCCACTGTTGGATAACTCGCTCCCCAAGTCAGAGTGCCAGATGGCTGCCAGGCGCTAAAACTTAGAGTTTAGGGCTTAGGGTTGGCTCAATCTTTCAGCATCGGCCGCTCCGGGGTTTAGTTGGCTCGAAGCTACCAACGCTTGGACCTCCAGAAACATGCATTGGGGGTTCCGAAAATAGGGGTTTCCTTTTTTTGGGGGTCCCTTTAAGGGGATTCTATTCCATTTGGGGTATGAAAGGGGTACCCCTGTTTTGGGAAATACCCACATGAGCTACATGTCTTGTTCGCTCCGCTTCTTGATGTGGCGATGTCTCTGCCGCTGATGGGTTCCCATGCCGAAGAAGCATGCCACACGACTGGCCGCATCTAAACAGCCCTCTCTGTTGAGTACAGCAGTTCGGCATGACATCAAGGCCGGACAGGGCGCCGTCTGTGGAGGGAAGCTCTTACGCTTCGTCAGCGTGGTGGCAGCACGACAGGCGCGGCGCCTGAAGTCTGTGCGCAGGCGCTGATTGCCCAAGAGGCAGTTCTCAGGACCAACGGACAGTGCCGGGATGTGATTTGAAAACAGCACTTCGCAACTCAGTGGCTCCCTGGGGCGCGAAGTGCAATCTTGATCGGTTTGACGCAATGGTGCAGCGTGGCAGGTGCAGCGATCTCTTGCCCCGAAGTTGATGGAGCGAGTTTTTTTTCGCAGCGTTGCTCAGAGATGCAGCGATATGCAGCGCATCTCGCGTGGAAAGGCTTGCTGCAAGGTCTTCCTGCAGGTTTCCGCAGCCCTCAGGCCCAAACACACACCTAAAGAGGAGAGGTGTAGCGGCTAGGGGCACATAGAAGGGCCAACGGCAGGACAGGTACAGAAAGTGCCGTAAGGTCGGGCGGGGTTCACGCTTGAGGCTGCACGTAGAGAGGGAGCCGCAGCTGCCGCAGCGCACACCTCTCTCCTCTTCGGGCTTTGAGTCGGAAGCGCGCGCACCCCCAGGCTGCTTAATGTTGGACAGAAGGCATTTCCGAACATAAGCAGTTATCTCTTTCTCTAGCTGCGAGCGTTCCGGGCTGCCAGCTCCCATAAATGCCGTAGCACCTTGCGAACCCACATCGTAAATTCCGGGCAACACTTCAAAGCGCGGCTCTGGGGCCTTGTACACGGCAATGTAGGCACGTTGTTAGCTGCTGGGTCTGGTCTCCTTCCTCTGCCTCCACCCCCCTCTCCATCCCTCTCCCTCTGCGCACGAGCTCTGCGAGGAAGTGGAAGTGGGCTTTGCGTGGCCCCAGTTGCTTCGGGGAGTCTCTCCCAGCTGACGTGAGGCTTCTGCTTCTGAGCTTCGACACGCGACGGGGCCGAAAGGGGTGCGGGCCTCGTGGCTTCGGTGGCTTCGGCGGCTTCTGCGGCTTCCACGGGCCTGGGCCTGGGGCCGTCCTGCCAGGGCTCGGTGATGCAGTGGACCAGAGCCTAGTGAACTCAAGAAAGGCCCCCAAGACTTCCCCAAAGGTTTCCGTGACATTGCGCAACCTTCATGGCTCCGAACTTGGGAATTTGGATCCCTGGAGGCACAGCCACATGCTTTGACGGGATCCCTCCATAGGTCAGGCTGCAGAGCTCCAGAAAAGATCCGTGGCCCCCAGGACCCGAGCAGATCACTCCCCCTGCTCACGTGCCTGGGTCTCAGCTTGCGCCCGAAGTTTTCGGTGTGGCTGTCTTTTCACGCCTTCCCCTAAAAGCGCTAATCCCTAAACCCTCAACCTTAATACCCCAAGAGCCTTGACCAGTTGTGTCAGGACTCAGACCCCAACTGCCTAGCCCTTCTGCGATTGTGGAGGTGAAGCGAAGGAGGGTCCCCAAGTATTTTCTCACCCCGCTGGAGGTCTTCGCCACTCTTCTTACCAGTTCCTGGCCTTGGTCTCGCCCAACTTTCCTCCAAGAAAGGCCCCCATTGTGAGGGGCCCTTCAAGAGTGCAGCACAGAGAGCCGAGAGGCCGGGAAACGGTGCCAAGGCTTCAGAAGAACCCCTTGTCGTGGCCTTGGGGACGTCCGACGGGTCGTCAGAATGGCTACCGGCTCGGGCGCTGGGCTCTGGGCGGCGTGTGGCATCAGCTGGAGCCTCTCCAAAGCTCCCTCCGGGCTCGGTGCGCCAAAAGCGCTCCTTGAGGCCCTCGTCTGAGGGCCTCAAGGGGCCTCCTCCTGGCGGCGTGCGTGCCCTTTTGAACCTGTAGATCATGGCCGGCCCTGAGGTTTCTCCTGCGGTGGTTCACCTGAGGTTTCACTGCATTTAAAGGGCCCAAGGCTTCAGGACGCGTTCTCAGGGCTTCTGAGCAGTGCAGCGAACTGCTGACAACGGAGCCAGCAGTGCTGTCAGAGCAATCAATTTCGTGCTTGCTCCGCTTGCTCCGCTTGCTCCGCTGATCCGGCCAGCTTGCTAGAGGGCACGCGCACGCGACCAGTGCGCGAGCAAGACAAGCACTTTCTTGGCTTATTGAGGTGCTCGATATTTGATCAGCCAGGCAAGAATGCAAGAATACCTGGCTCTCACTAAGTCGGAGTGAACCATCAACCTTTGTTCTTGCTAGAAGACAACTCCCAACTCTGGCGCTGTCCTATATGTCAGCCCGTCCAATCGGGGAAGGCTGACCACGGTCTGTGCGATCTGTGCCCGTGTGTGGACAAGTGTGAAGTTGGCCTTCGCTGTACAGGCTCGGGACAGGCTTCAGACCTTCGCCGCAGGACCGTTCTCCAGTCCCCACTGCGCATGGAGCGCCTAGGAGCTTCGAGGGGCAGCAAGGGTCGACGGGGGTTCTAGCATGGGCTTGCGCTAGCCAATCTCCACAATCCCTCCCACATTCGTGCCCTGCCGAAAGAGGTACTTTGTCGTTGTAGTATGGGGCCAATGTATCTTAGGGGCTTGAGAACTTGCATGGGAAGGGGTTAGTTGTCGTGACCCCTCTTCAGCTCTCGTTGCCTCGGGCTGGCCGCAAGTCGCTGAGAGGAGCTCCGCGTACTCAAGCTCCTCCTCCTTCCCTGGCCTGCCTGCCCTACCTGGCCTGCCTCTCTCCTTCCTCTCCTCGGTGTTGTGTCGGCTCCATCAAGCTTTCTCAGCCCCCTCTAGAGCCTCCGGTCCGAGCTTGTGCAGTGTAGCCGGCGCCGTTCTTTGTCCGTCCTTCTCCAGGCTCACATGCGGTCGTCTGTTCCGCACATTGTAGCTGTCTAGACAGTTTCTGCTGCGTATACGACTGCTGCTTCTGTTCACGTCAATCCTGCGCATCCAACACTCGGGCATCGCCCACCCCCCTTCGAAAGATAGGATTGAGAGGGCGACCGTTTTCTAGCGCCTAGGTAGTCACCATGGCTTGATGAAGGTGGACAGACCTTTCAAAAAAGGAAGTCGCACAAAGGCGACAGTGTTTCTTGAACATGCTGTCAGCTTACACCGCAGCCCAATGTCTGAGGATTCTGAAGCGCTCGTTCCATGTAGCCCTCGTGGAAGTGAAAGGTGCTGCCTTCCATGACGTACACCGTGTCTTGGCGTCATGCCACGATCAGCTCACACAGGCACCTGCAGACTGCCATGGCCAAACCCAGTTCGGCGCTGAATCTGCATGCAGTCCCAATCTGACACGGCAGTAAACTGGTGACGAACCTTCCAGGGCAACTCAGTGAAGTGCCCCTGCTGAATGTTGGCGCTTGCCATCACTGCACGCGTCCTTAGACTCCCGAACAATCGTTTGCAAGCAGGGGTCTACAGTCGACTCTGCAGCCAGAGCTGACCGCGGCACAGCCGAAGAAGACACGCACGGCATGCAGTGCGTGCCAAGCCCCTGGAGCACGGAGCTCTTTGTGGTCTTTCGTATAGGGGTCGGAGTAACTACCAACAATATCCCCTCATGGTCCCTACATAATTATACGACCACGGCGCAACTTCCAGCGCGCCCGGCAGCCGCCGCGCTGACTTTTGTGGACGGCTGCCTCATCTTGCGCTCACACACTTGGGGGATTCCGAAATTCGGGGTACCTTTTTGGGGTCCTTATTATAAGGATATGATATATGACAAGGGGAATCCTACTATCTGGGGGACCATATTAGGGGGTCCTCTTATTTTCGCAACCCCCACTATGGCTGGGGAGTTGAGGTCTAAGGCCCCAATTAAGCTCCTGAAGATCCCGGGCGTTGGAATAACGTTTCAGGGGGCCAGGCCCGAAGCTCAGACTCGCAGGAAGCTGCTGTTGTTGGCCCTGCTCTGTGCTATCTTCTCAACACGGCCCACTTCCGTCGCCCGTGGCGGGCCAGTCCGTGGGGTCGGAGTCTATGCTGACATAAAGGTCCTACAGGAGTTGGGGAATAAGTAGGCCAGGTCTGGGTGAGACCCACCCAATGCTGCAGAAACGCATGGGGTAGCCGGGATAGCTGCTGCAGCCCAATTTTGAGCTTTTGGCCGTGCGAGATGGGCGATGCGGCAGTGCTCATCGCTCATGAGGCATCCAGCCATGGCCCGATTGTGTAGAGATCTGTGGTCTCAGGAGCTTTGCAGGGTGTCTGAGCGACCCTGTTTGCATGAACACTGGGTGGTGCCGCGAACGTCTTTTTAGGGCACGGGCATTGGAAAAGGAATGCCGAAATGGTCAGGACAAAGTAAGGAAAAGGCGCAGCGCCCCGCCGTCGCAGAGGCCGGAATGATCTCACCGGTTGTGAGCTGGAGCGTTGCTTCCGAGGGCTTGTGGAATCTTCGGCTGTGGGTGCCAGTCTGGTGGCATGCAATGTAGTTCCGCTGCTGCTGCCCGGCAGTCAAATTCTGCTTGAATACATACAAGTGTCGACGAGAACAGATCGTCACAGACAGCACGGAATCCCACATGTGCTCCTTCATAGTAGAACATGATGTAAAGCGCCACTTTCGCAAGTTGGCGCCTACCTGAGCAGTCGATGACCGGGCTCTTCAGGGAGCAGGGTCGCAGACCGTCGACCAAGAAACAGTTTCGAAAGGCTGCACAGGTCTTCATGATTGCCGCCGTGGCTCTGAGGCTGAGACAACTTGGGACATTCCTAGACTTTGCCAGCCATCAACGCCTGATCGTGTCGGGATGCAAGGCGCGTTCTCACGTGACGATGCTGCGTTGTTTCAATTTCTCGAGGGAAGCAGACCTTCACGTTCAAGTCGGATCCTCCAACAAACGCGAGGCATGGGGTTAAATGGGGCCGTCGCAAAATCGTGGTGATCTGTGCAATTGCTTCTGTATAAGCGCATGCCTACGTGCATGCACGCATGGGTGAGAGGGGTTTGCACAAAAGCGTAGTTGCTGATCAGATCCTGTGCATGTCCCAAGGAACCATGCACATCACTCCTAGGGTCGGCCTGCTCAAAAGAACCTGACGTGCATGAATGTGCCGCATGTGGCGCAAACAATCTGCTGTTTGGATGTCTTGCGCGCCTGCCTCTGTATGGTTCTGTGTGTGAAAGCCCTTTGAGGACGAGGAGGAAGCTCATTCCCAGCGGCTGGCTGACACCTGGGATCCCCTGAACCCTAAACCCTAAACAGCTCGCATTGCTGGCTCTTCCGGGTCTCGAACTTGCCTTCGGCCCTGGGAGGGCCCTGTAGGGGCTCCGAGACGCGTATCCCAAGTAGGACTGCGTTGCAAAGGAGATTTCAACATGGCTGGGCTGCATGCAATCCAGAGTGTGTCCCGTGCCTGATCTAGTAGAGGCGTACCTTAAGCCCTAGGTCGCCGGGCACAGCCCTGCCCACCAGACTCTTGCAGCCCTTGCCCTTCCTACTTCATGCTCATGTGGCGCAGCACCAGGGCGTCTCTCAGCCCATGCCTGCGCTGTTTTTGGAAGGCCTGCTCTTTTGAATTCATAGGCGGCTGTCACTTCACCACCCGTCTGCTCCGCTTACCCTTGGAGAGCCCAAGGTGTCGTTTGAAGCCAGGATGCGGAGACTTGCCCTTGCTGCAGGCTTGAAGATTGCAGGAACTTAGGTCAGGGCAAAACGCTGCGCACAGATCATTAGATGTTCACACGAAAGCCGAAACACGAGGGGCTGCGCATTTCATGCGGAACTCATAGAACCGTTTCGTAGAACCCGGGAAATTCGCGGAACCCAGTGGCGCTTGGCAAATAGAGTTCATGCGTTCCTTTTGACTCTATTAGATGCGCTCACTAGATTCACTCGCTTCCTACACTCTGAGACCCCATTTCCTGAGATTCCAAGGGTGTGAACTGACGGTCATAAGATGCTAGCTAAATTTGCAGGAAAGACATGAATTGTAATTGAAACCGCTTGGTTGAAACCATTCGTGAGCTACCTCCAGTCACCAGTTGCTGCCCGAAGAAGAACACCTTCAGCTGACGCAAGGCGTTTTGGGCAAGCGTCCTTGGGACGTGCTTCCCTATACCCTAAACCCCAAACCCGGAACCTAAACCCATTAGTGCATGCCGAGTTTGTGTCCTAGGTTTGGGGCGACCCGGCCGGTAGGCCTTTGGGACATCTTATGTTTTCTTCCCTTTTTGGGTTTCAGAGGATCATATTCAGGGATTTTTTTTCAGAGGGCTCCAAGGGCCGCGCTAGGAAGCCAGTTAGTTTGAGGCATTTGGCAGCTTTTTCTCCAGAGGATTCATCCCGCCCCCCCAAGATTTCCTACAGGCAAAGCTTGGGGGGCCTGTCAGGGCCTTAAAGTCACCAAGCAGACGAAGCACAATGCTCCGAGCTTTAGCCGGCACCGGTCTAAGCTTCTCCCAAGTGCCTCGTCCTCTCCTGGGAAGGTCATGGCAGTTAGGGCTTGTGAACGTTAAAAAACCCATTTAGGAAAATAAAACCTAAAAGCTTCTCCCAAGTGCCTCGTCCTCTTTGGGGAAGGTCATGGCAGGGTTCGTGGCTTCGCCTGACAAAAGGAACGTGCCCACAGCGCTGCCCCAGGTCCGAAAGCCTCGACTCGTGAGGGCAAGGTCTAGGGTTCAAGGTTTAGGGTTTAGGGCTTAGGGTTTAGGGTTTAGGGTTTAGGGTTTTCATGACAGGGCCATCTCTGAAAGGCTGTAAGGAACGGTGAGCCGAAGTCGCTTCCAGTCTCGTCTTTCTTGCAGACTCTCTTCGGTGGGCTCCTTCTGCAAAGTCCGTTCTGAAACAGCCAAGGGCCCCTGAGCTGCAGATTGATTTTCGCTTGAAGCCTAACCTCCCTGAAAGGGTTCTGAAGTATGGGCCCTTAATTTATAGAGGGAAAAAGGGGTAAATAAGGGGTACCCTTTGAAGGGACCATGCGTGCTGGCCCGGGCTCCGCTCCTTCGTGGCCTTACCGTCTTTGCGGGGGCGCCACAGGCAAGAGGCAAGAGGCAAGAGGCAAGAGGCAAGAGGCACGCTGCACGCGCATAAGCACACTCGGGTGTCCTTCAGGGCCCAGAAGGACAGGTCATACCTAAACCCGAAACCCTAAACCCGAAACCCTAAACCCTAAACCTCCTGTCACTTTGACCCCAACTTGGGCCATGGCTGACAGCAGCCTGGGCCTGTAAGGGCCCCTGAGTTCGCGAGGAGCTCGGTGCCCAGTACAACTTTCTTCCTGCGCCATCAGCTGCCTTGCCACTGGAAGCCTGCCGGCCTAGGGTTTAGGGTTTAGGGTTTAGGGTGTTCGGTTGCCCCTTGAGGAAAACAATCTAAAGCCTCTCGGGAGCATCGGTTTGGTCCAGGTTCCGCGACCACGCGCCTTCGGGATGGTGCGCGGAGTTCAGAGGCATCCCCGGTGTCATGGCGTCGTCAGTTACGGAGAGGACGGAGATCTCCGGCCATGGGCGCGACTGTCCCCGGCAACGCTTCACACAGGCTGATCGCTTCAGGTACCAAGTTGCCAGGTCGCGCCTGGTAAGCTTGCTTTGACGGCACCTGGCTCCATGTCCTACCGGAAGTCTTGCTGAGATAGTTTCGGGCCTTGGCTTCACCGCTTGTCTGGGCCAAGAGACGACCCCCCCATGTCATGCAAAGCAAGCCGAATACAATGCCTTGTTTCGGAATTTTCGAGAGCAGGCTTTTAATTTTCGAGAGCAAGCTTGAACGAACGCCAGTTTCCTTGCTGGGCTGGCGGGTGCGGGTGCGGCCGCACATCAAATCCAGCATGCCGCTATCTGTGTGAGCATGGCCCTCAACCCTGAAAACCAAACCCCAAACCCGCAACCCGAAACCCTAACAAAAAGCCTTCAGCCCTATTTCGGTCTCAGCTCGGACCTTATCTTGGTCACCGCTTCATCTCCGTGCTGCGTCCGGGATCTTTCTCGTTGTGTCCGCATCGCTTCGGACTTTCGGATCTTGGGGTTAAGGGCCTCAGGGTCAGGGGCACACAGCCCACGAAGGCGGCGAAGACAAGAATCCGGTTGTTTCATGAATTCCAGTTGTTTGTGTCAGGCAACAGCGCCGGCAAGTCTCTGCTGGCGCAGCTCCGGCTTCTCATTCCCTTGGGCAGCGCGCCCGGAGAGACGCACCGTGAAGCGCTAGGGGCGTAGCAGGCCGTGACGGGATGAAAACAAGTGGCTGTCCGGGCCGGGGCCTTTTCAGATGAGCAATACAGCTGCAACAATCCGTGAGTACTTTTAAGGGTTATTTCAGTTACTTCAGAAGATTCCGGGCTTAAGATCATTTAGGTACCCTCAACCCTCAACCCTCAACCCTCAACCCTCAACCCTCAACCCTCAACCCTCAACCCTCAACCCTCAACCCTCAACCCTCAACCCTCAACCCTCAACCCGCAACCCTCAACCCTCAACCCTCAACCCTCAACCCTCAACCCTCAACCCTCAACCCTCAACCCTCACCCCTCACCCCTCCCCTCAACCCTCAACCCTCAACCCTCAACCCTCAACCCTCAACCCTCAACCCTCACCCCTCAACCCTCAACCCTCAACCCTCAACCCTCAACCCTCAACCCTCAACCCTCAACCCTCAACCCTCAACCCTCAACCCTCAACCCTCAACCCTCAACCCTCAACCCTCAACCCTCAACCCTCAACCCCAACCCCACACCCTAAATCCTAAACCCCAAACCCTAAACCCTAAACCCCAAACCCTAAACCCTAAACCCCAAACCCTAAACCCTAAACACCCCAGCCTGATGCCTGGACGATCCTCACAAGTGGAGGATCCTTGGGACGAAAACCCTTGAATGAGATGCGATGTTATCAGAGTTTAGGCTTCAGGGTTTAGGGTTTAGGGCTTGGGGTTTAGGGGTTTAGGGGTTTAGGGGTTTAGAGTTTAGGGTTTAGGGTTTAGGGTTTAGGGCTTGGGGTTAGTCATAGAAGGGCGGCGAGGCGGGTGGCTTGCCATAGTGTCAGTACATGCCTGTCACGTTGCCGTGTGTCAGCTTGCTTGTGAAGCGAAGGAGGGGAGCGGCTCAACAGCATTGCTTGGTTGGGTTGGATTTGGCTGAGCTGATGCCAGCCTAAACCCTAAACCCTAAACCCTAAACCCTAAACCCTAAACCCTATACCCTAAACCCTAAACCCTAAACCCTAAACCCTAAACCCTAAACCCTAAACCCGGCCTTAGAGAACATGCTTATGGGTCCCAGGGTCATAAACAAGAAAACGCGACTAGGGAGGCGCGCGGTTTGACTCCAAAATCCTATTTCGAACCCGGGCGTTCCGCGAGGGCTGCTTACCGTTCTCGGTATACGGTGCAGGGCCTATAGGGCTTAGGTTTAAGACGTTGGGTTTCGTCAAACCCAATTCAGTTTGAACTTTTGCTGGAGGCTCTAAGTTTGTAGTCTGGTTCCGTACCGACATGCGTCAAGTCGCGGTGCGAAGGTGGACAGCTCAAGGCCTAAATGCTAAGGCGTTGATGATTGAGCTTTTCAGGGATTTGGCGAGTTTCTGCTTCAGCCTGACGGGTGGCGACAGTTCTGTTGTCCCTTTGCTGCTCCTGCCTTTGCTCCTCCTGATTTCATCTTCGTCTACATGATTATCATCATCACGGTTAGTATCGACGGTAACATTCGTAGATGCCTATCCGATCCAACACGTTCGTTGGGGCTTCTGCACCCAAAGCGCAGATCTCAGCATTTCGGGCGGCCACGGCTCAAAGCTTTTGCCGGACCTGCGTGGTTTTTGAACTCTTAGAGCTGCGGCTTTGGGCTTCGGCGGATAGAGGTTCTTCACTACTGCGCGCTTATCGCTTAATTGCAGCACATCATTTACTCAGTAACAATGCTTTCAGTATGGTGGCCGCTTATCTACTCCCCCAGATGGCAGCATCTAGCGTCGTAATCATACCCTGCAACAAGAGCGAAGGGTGCCAGCAGCCAGGTCGCCAGCAACCCTCGTTTTGCTAGCAGACGCTACGGGGGGGGAAAGACGTGCTCGATCTAGGTTGGCCAAGCAAACCCGCCGTCCCGCCATGGATCCACAGCTCGCCTTTGCTTTTCCCCAGCAGGTCTTTGGCCGGAATGTCGCCGACACCTTCTCCGATAAGGATGACGAGAAGTTCCAACAGAGGATCCGCGCCAAGCTTGATGCCAACGTCTATGACCAGTCAGAGGTGCGAAGAATAGTTCCGCGTACCTAAACCCAAACCCTAAGCCCGAAGACCTAAGTCTTAAACCCTAAGCCCTAAACCACTTCCCTAAGCCCTAACTAAACCCTAAACCCTGAACCCTTGAGACCCTTATAAGCCCTAAGCCCGAAACCCTAAACCCCAAACCCCAAACCCCAAACCCCAAACCCTAAACCCTAAACCCTAAACCCTAAACCCTAAACCCTAAACCCTAAACCCCAAACCCTAAACCCTAAACCCTACGCCCTAGGTTGGCCACATCTTTTCCTTGGAAAATGGGGGCTCCAGCTGCCGTGAGAATGTCTTCATGCAGGAACCTTGGTCATCGTTGGGCAACATTTTTAAATTTTTTAAGGGTACTTAAACCACATTTTTAAGGGTACTTAAACCACATTTTTTTTTTACATTTTTAAGGGTACTTAAACCGCATTTTTAAGGGTACTTAAACCCAAGAAGGAATAGCAACTTTGTTTTTTTAGAGTATGTAAACACTTAGTTTTTTAACGTGTAGACCAACAATGGACGAGGAACGCCAGTGGAATAACCAAATCTTCTGTGATGAGTTGCTGGGGCCGCCTTGGGATTTTTTTTTTCCCGCCGTTTCCCTGTACATTTGGGGCTTAAGAGGGGATCAGAAGTTAGGGGAGTCTTGTCTTATTTTTACTTTTTATATCTTTGTTTTCCCGAACCCTTCCTAACAGGCGGCCCAAAAAACCCGAGGTTGCATGTGGCCTACGTCGGCTGGCACAAGGCTCAGACGGCCTGGCGGGTGGCCCAGAGAACTGCGAAGTTCCAGGAGGGCTGCTGGAAGACCTGGACCTTGGCGCCTAGGCAGAGGGTTTAGGGTTTTTAGGGTTTTGGGTTTTGGGCTTTGGGTTTAGGGGACCCCTTCCAACGTTTTTCGACTTACTGTTACGATTACTCTTCCTTCTTCCTCTTCCTCTTCCTCTTGCTCTTGCCCTTACTCTTACTCTTACCCCCCTTACTCTTCCTCTTACCCTCACTCTCCTATTGAATTTATCAAAACTTCAAATACACTATTTTTTTTTCAAAGGGTCCCTACTCGGGGCCCATCCGAGGAGCAGATTCGCAACAAGGGCGTGGAGGATTTCCGGCGGATGGGCCTCTGGGTGAGGGAGGCCGGCGGCTTTGACGTCAGGTGGGGGGGGGGCTTCCGAAAGTCGGGGGGGGGGGGGGGGGGTAGCCTTTTTTGGAGGGGCTCGACTTTCTTAAAAGGGTTCTCTGTAGTGTTTTTTAGGGTACAGAAAGGGGGGGGTTACCCCTTTGTTTTCGGACATCCACAGGTCGCCTGCCATCCTGGAGGGAAGGGTGAGGATCCTTCCCAGTGGCATGCCGCTTGGGGTGCACGACTGCATGCGCAGGGTCGTCGTGGACGAGTCGCCGAATCATGACATCTACGGTGGGATCGATCCCTTTGCCCCACTTGAGAAAGACTTCTGAGACCTTGGGGGCCTCTTGCTGTCTAGTCCTTTCACAGCAGGGAGGCAGACCTCAACCATCAGGCCATAAGAGTTTCTTTAAAGGGGGGGGGGGCGGCCTCTTCGAAGCCCAGGATCTGGGTGATGACGACTCCCCCTACATCCTTGCGGCCCCGGCTCAGCAGCGGCCGCAGCTGGAGCTGCAGCCGACCTCGGCAGCGCGCGCCCGGCGCCTCAGCGCGGATCGCACGGAGCTCTTGGCGAACCAGCGGGAGGTGTCTTTGAGGCGAAGACCTGAGGCCCAAGGAAGATCCTGCCCGTGCTTCGAATGCTATTTCATGTAGGCCTAAGGAGGCTGAGACAAGATTTGTGAAACAAATCCGACAAAACCAGGTTTTACATGGGTGTGGGGCTAGCAGCCCCATGCTTTGAGTCCTCGCAGGGTAAGTTCTCCGCTTAAAAAACAGTCCTGACTGAAGGTGGCTTGCCTTGTTGAACGCTGCACATCTTGGTATGTTCCGTTTGCAGTACGTTGACTTCCTTTCCTTTCCCCCCTCCCCACCGCATCTTAGCATGGAATCAAGGTCCTCTAGCAAAATCTAGCTTCCGAAAGACCGAACGCAGCTAATATCGGCCCGAGCATGCTGCGAGCCACCTCCACGTACCAGCCGGCCATGCACCAACCAGCTTGCATCCCGCAGGGGGAGTAGCATTTTGAAGCTCTCTTCCGTGAGCTTTTCACAGCTGGCCGGAGTACTGTCATCACGGCTAGGACTCGGACTGTCTTGGCGAGTTGTCGAGATCGTGCCGCGTGTGCGCGCTGCAGCTGCATTCCGAGCCTCCACGGCGTCCATGGATGTGCAGGCAGCTGGAGTCCTCACAGACTCTACGGTTTCGGCATTGTTGCAACACGGAGCAACACGTGAGCCTGGGCATTACCAGTCGCCAGACCGAAATGGCCGGTTGCCATGTTGCCACCTTGCCGGCAAAGCCTGCCATGGCAAGGATGACATTTTCCTAGCCGACGGTGCCAAGAGCGAGCAAACGAGAAGCCCATGGATTTAAAGGGCTGAGATGTCAAGGGAAGAAGGCGACTCAGCAATTGAGAAGCTTGGTACACCGTCCATGTATACATTTAGGGCTATCCCACAAGACCGGTGTCACGTGCCCAGGAGCAGTCCCCGGAATGAGTAAGCACGTCCTTTCCCGACTTCTGGCAGGTCAGCCTGCAGGAAGTGCAGGCTCTGAAGTGCGGGGGAGCCGTCTGTGATGGCTGGGCGCAGGGCCAGAGAAAAGCCCAGGATGGAAGTTCCACCATCCTGGCGAGCTGAAGAACCCACGCCTGATGGCAAGTCGTGTGTAGAGGCCTGGATTTCGAGGGGCACACCCTTAAAGGGGCTGAAACGGCCCGCAGCGAGGCTCTGCAGCATAGCGGAGGGTGGCCGTGCTGCCAGCGCCAGCCCCAGTCTAGTGTGGTCGCTTCTTTACCTCCTAGCCACGAGCCCAGCACATTGACATCTGGCCTCACCCGGTCTGCCAGGTATGTTGTGGCGCCATGAACTGCTTGCAGCTCCGTTGTTGTTCCCAGAAAGCCGCTGCGGGTTTGAGGCGCTGCCGCTGAATGTGCCTGCAGCATGCTACGGGTGACTGCAGTTGCCAAGGTTACATGGCAGGACTGAGTTAGGGCTCTGGCGGCCTGAAGATGGCCTTCGGTCAGCTGACACTTGCAAGAACTCCCGGCGAGCGCGCCTGACCGCCTAAGCCTGAAACTGCGTCGGGGCGCGTGGCGCGCCCCTGGGTTTCGGGCAAGATGGCCTGCCCCAGCTGGAAGAAAGATAAGCCCGCCAAGGCATAGCAGGCAGGTCAACGACACGCTCTCCAGGCTCTTCCCTGGCCCTCGCATGAAAAGGAGGATGTTGGCAATGCTTGCGAAATCTACTCTAACCCCCATGTGCGTCGAAGATCATTCAGCGCATGCTCTGAGATCACATGTCACACTTGTTTGCTCAGTTCTGGCTTCCTTGGTCATGGCTGACCTGTCACGACTTTCAAGGCCCCAGATTGATCTGGCAAAGTGTGGGCAGGACCCGGTTTCCATCGCCTGCTCGCCAGACGGCCTGGGCCTGATCCTGGAGCTATGGAGGCTCTGACAGCGCGCCTAGGGGCGTCTCTGATGAGAATGCACGAGGGCAGTATTTCCATGAAGGCGCGGCCCCTCCTGTCCTGATTGCTTTGTGCGCGCCAATCTGCCATGTCAAGATGGCTTGGCAAGGGCTGTGCTGCCACCCTGGTTTCGGGTTTTTGTTGGCATTTCAGTGCGAGGGCCTTTCCTTTCGCGAGACGCGAAGTAAACCCGAAACCCTAAACCCCTAAAAGCATATTCGAGATCAAGGCGGTTGCCGGCGCATGGCATCCGAAGAAGCCTTCCCGAGCCGTTCGCCCAGCCTCCACCATCTCGTGGCCGCATCTCCAACCAAGTTTTGGAGATGTGAGTTGTAGGGTTTAGGGTTCAGGGTTTAGGGTTTAGGATTTAGGGTTTAGGGTATGTCGGGTGCAGGGAGCTCTATGCCGCCCATTTGGAACCGTGCTTCCACTGTCTTGGTGCTCGGGGGTCGTGAGCCTTCCGCCCAGCACCGAGTGACCGTCGCAGCTTGCTTCTCGTCACGTCTCGTGTCCCGCATAGCATGGAATGCGCAGCCATGGATTCTAATGGATTCCGGGCTTGCTCCGTCCTCAAAGTGAACCATGCTTTGGAGATGTGAAGGTCTTGTTTGTCGGGGGTAGGGAGTACGTCTGCTGGGAGGCCTCCCGATGATGGTTCTGCACCAGCCCGCAAAAAGGGGGCACACCCAAAAGTGGTCTCGGCTGTCCCCGGTGCATGTCACGATTCGCCGCCCTGTTTTGTCACGCGCCCGACTGCCACTGCGACATGGGGTATTCTGGGCGTAACAAGACCTGGAACCGTAGCCGAGCCTCGACCACGGTCTTGTCTGCGCTGGCCTCTGCTGCGTCTTGTTAGGTGGGCCTTGCTTCGGGTTGTGCGTCCTTTTTGACGGTTCGTCTCACGCCGCCCTCAGAAGATAGGGGTTGGTTATGCTTGGCCGCAATTGGGGGGGTTAAGCCGCCGATGTTATCCCGATCTGAGGTTTTTATCAGGCCTGTGTCTTGTGGGATCCTAGGATTTTATCCCAGGAACATGGGTGCATATTATGCTTGCTTGGGTCGGTCATGGAAGGTGTATCCACAGTTTGTTGTCAGGGTCAGGCCCCAGGATTTTATCCAGAGTAATGTTCCCCCGTCTGTCTCTGTCCTGCACAAGGGTCGGGCCTGAGGATTTAATCCGCTGGGGCCTTGCCTGTCTCAATATGCTTTAGGTCCGTTTTTGCCTCCCCCGGAGAGGCTCAAGCCTAATGTCTACAAATCAAAATTTATCCTCGGAAAGGTTGGTTCACAAGGATTTTATCCAGATAAATTTGTGGCTTAACCCTTCGGCCCGTGTCCAACGGGTATTCAGAAGTAAGGGCTGGTGGATGCTTTGAGATTTCTTTAAGGCTCCCTTGAAGCGTCAGTCAGGCTCCACTTCTGCTTTCGTCCACGTGCACAGGGCTGAGATTTCTTGAAGGCTCCCCTGAAGCATCAGTGAGGTTCCACTTCTGCTTTCGTCCATGTGCAGGGCTGTACCAGCCTGATTTGGTCACCTCTCATCTTCGGCCAAGAGTGTGGGACCTATTGCTTGCTTGGTTTCGCCACTGCGGGGCCAGGACGGGTTTTGCAAGGGGCCTTTGGGTAGAAGGGAGGAAGCTGACACATTGAAAGAACCCTAAACCCTAAACCCCCCTAAACCCTGCAAATGACCCTCACTTCACGGAGGCCATGTGTTTTGCCTCGCTGTCCTTAGGCACAGGCGCGCGTCGGGGGCCTCGTGACCTTGCCCCAGGCCTTCCATCCTACAGACGGCATCCTGCGTGTCATGACCAAAGACCCTGAAGCCGCCTGAAGCCCCCAACCTAGAATCCCTAAACCCTAAACCCTAAACCCTAAACCCTAAACCCTAAACCCTAAACCCTAAACCCTAAACCCTAAACCCTAAACCCTAAACCCTAAACCCTAAACCCTAAACCCTAAACCCTAAACCCTAAACCCTAAACCCTAAACCCAACGCTAACCCAGAGTCTTTCCTAAACCCCCGAGCTTGGTGAGGTTCCGGCTCTGCCCTCATGTCGAGTGCACAGGGCTGCAGCCTTGGTCACCTCTCAGCCTTCAAACTCGGCCAACACATTGGCTGGCTTCACCCGGCATGTCAAGCGAAAACGATTCTCCTAACTTGTAAGCTTTCCCCACCTCATAGGCAGCAGCTGTCTCAGAAACAAAAACATGAGAAGCAAAAACGCAATGCACCAGGATTTCGGGGTCTTACAGTCGTCTCTGCAAGTGTCTGGAGCAGCCTTCTCGAATCTGCTGCGCTGACCGTGTGAAGCTGCTGCCCATGGCATCCTCGGCTGCAGCCTTCCTGAACAGCTTCGCGAGACTTCCGCGAGTAGCTTTGCAGAATGTCGCAGCTTGCACATCACCCCTTCCAGATATTCCCTAACCGGGTCCAGATACCCGGGGTTCGCCAGGCATTAAAATGCCTAACCCCCCCCCCACCCCCGCAAATGCATAACGCACCTCCAAGCACAACCCACCTGCCGGACGTTCTTCGACTGGAAGGTTCATGTTCTGCTTCTCTGAAATCGGGGTCCAGAAGCCAGAGCATGTTTTCACGTACCCTCGATGCCGGTACTGGGGCGCGCAACAAAAGGCGTAACAAAGCCCGCGTGCCCTGCAAAAAATGCCTTTCAAGCTGGGGGGACTCAACTTAGGGCTTGTTGTGATCGTGGTTTCGGACTGTAGGGCAGCTCTGTCCTCGGCTTCTTTGACTAGTTCTCCTGACCTCTTTGTCCTCCCCAGACTGGTGTTTTGGAGATTCGAGGCTTCGTTCGGGATCTGCTTCAGACGATGGCCACCTGGAGACCCGTCTGGGTGCCTGCTCATGGGCGTCGACCTGGCTGTTGAGTGCTGACATGCTACGTTGGCTCAATGTGATGAGTAGGGAGGAGAAGGCATGTATTTACATCAACAATCAGTGGTTATGTTCTGGTACGTGTGTTGGTAGTTGTAGGTGAATTTGATGAACTCGTGTTGTCTAGCTGTTGCTTGCTAGCCAACTTTAAACAAATCATTCACCATTGTGTTTGGTTGCAACACTGGCGGCTTGCGGCGCCATTACAAGGCTGTCTGTGGGCGCGTGGCACGGCATTGGAATTCGCGCGAGCTTGTCGTTTGATTTGTTTCACTTTGGTCTGCGTTTGCTTTTGTATCTGCGAGGTCGCCGGCAGGACGGTGCACATGGCCAAGCCACCGGCGCCCGAGAAGCCGTTCGGTTTGCAAGCAGCCTGACAACGTCGAATGTGATCAACGTGATCGGTTCCGTGTTTTCCAGGCCGTGTGTCGTCAGTGCGAGCTCGTCTTTAAGGAGATGCTGGGCAATCAGTGTCAGCAAATTTGATTTTGCATGACTGTGTGCTTCGTCATATGAACCGTCATGCAAATGAAAGAATGTCAGTGTTGCATGCAAGGATCTCTTGGATTATCCCAGACGTTGAGCCAGAGGCACGCCCTTAGGTCGCCGACGAGCACTGCGTATCTGGTGAGCCTGACTGATCTCAATAAGGTCACTGCATCATCATTAAAGCTTCGCATACGAGGTGGTCACAGGCCATGCAAAGTGGCATAGACGTTTAACGACTACTGGACCATGTTGGAAGCAAACCTTGGGAAGTTGCAAGGCTTCAAGTTTACGACCATGGCACAGCAAAGCTTGTTCCAAAGGGTGGAAGAGCTGTGCGAAGCCGAGTTGGACAGTCAGTAGTGGTGCTATAGTCGATGATGCATAGCCTGATGTATGCCTCCGCAGATTCCTGCGCCGATCTGCGAGATAGTCGTGGACGGATGTGAAGAGGGCATCGAGTATGAGGCCCGCTGTCCATGAATTTCGGAATTTTTTGCATTGTCACGAGGCTAAAGTGCAAAACTTGCCGAAATGTTGCGTTCAATGCTTTCAGCCAGGCTGTTCTCGCTGTCATGAATAGCGAGGGCTGGAGTGAGTGGCCCTCTCAGGTATAGCAGCGTGAAGCTGCTTTCGATGGTTAACCTAAAGTATGTAAAGTGACCCTTCATTTCTCCTTGAAGGCCATCACCTTTCAGTGAGCCCGGCTTCTTCGGGGCCCTCAAGCCACGGGACCCTCCTCATCAGAACAGCAAGTAGCTGCTGTGGGTTGTCGAGTTCTGGAAGAGTGCACTCGGCTTCAGAGGAGAAGCCGCCCAGACCGACGACCCCAACTCTCACAGCGCTGGGAAAGGGGAAGCTGCGAGTCTCTTGGGCATGAAGCTCAGGGGGAATCATCTGTTCTTGTTCATGTAGGGGCCGATTGTGAAAGAACCCCCCAATCGAGGCGATTCCGACTTCATGCCCGCCTGTGGAAGCAACCCAGGCAGTGCGCATGTTGCTGCGTTCAGCTCGGAAACTCTTGTCAGATGACTTTGCTGATATCTTGGTGGTCATGCTGCTTCAGGTGCAGCTCACGGATGTGGGAACAGGACTGACTGACAGACCTTGAATTTGTCTTGGAGTTGACTGGCTTGAAAACAAGAAAAGCCAGGAAACAAGTGGCTTGTTGATGAATCTGGGGCTTTGGTGACCTCTGGCCGGACAACTTTCGCAGCCACCCGAACTGAGGCGGGCCTCAGGCTTTCACCAGACCTCGCCAGATCATTGGAAAGTAGTTTCATGAGACTCCCCGCGAATCTTGCGTAGGTTCACATCAAAGATGTTCAGGACTTGCCTGCGGAAACCTACTTTATTTGCTTCCCGGGTTGGCAGCTGTAACTCTCCACGAGGATTGCGTTGAATACGCAGCAGAAATTTGCTGCCGGAATGCAGAGGTTGGTCTCGGAACTTCAAAGGGTTGCAAATTCTTGGAGAGAGCTTCCAGATGTTGAGTTGCCAGGGCTTTGGAGAATACTCCATGGCGAGCGACGGTGTTGCCAACATTGATGCCAAGGACATGCCCTTACCTGCTACTGAGTATTGACATTGACTTGCAGTGTTTCTTTTGACAGGGGCAGATTGGTGCCATGCAGCTTGACATCCACGAAAGTGCAAGCACTGAGGCAAGCACGACAGTGCAGGGGACAGACATTTGCAGACCCTTCCCTTGCTCTTTCACGGAATGCATGTAAGGTTCCAGTGATGGTGCCGCAGGGGGAAGGCAAAATGAAGGCTTGTGGAGTCATTTGTCATTCCTCGTGTTCTCAGGACACTTGAGAAAGGAGGCGTTTGGTCCTTTCTTGGCAGGTGAAATGGAAGCTACCCGACGACGCCACACAGACCATTGTCAAGTGGATGCCTCGTAGGATAGAGTACGCGACATGTTGTGATATCTGCCGCAGACTTGATGTCCGAGGCTTCGGCGTGTTGGCAACCAGAATTGGTATCTTTGTCACATCCTGAACTGGGCTCTCAAACCCGAGAAACTCTGCATGTTTCCTAGAAGGTGTTTCTTTTGCCCAGGCACTGGTGGTGCCATTGCTGCACCCGCCTCTGAGACTATCGCCACTGGCTTAGAGGAAGGCATTGAGTACGAGGCCGGGGTTCGGAAGGCTGTGATAGGACGAAGCCCGGGCGTTTTGTGATTACGCAATTGGCTTCTGGCTCGGCATGACTCTGTGTATTGAAGCTGTTTCATACTGTTGGGACCATTGATGCTGGTGATACCAGCCACTTTACAGTACACCGGTTGACTGTCGTGTTCCGTCACACTTTGTTGCTACTCAAGCCTATCGGTTCAGATAGATGCGCGTTCGCCAAATGATCAGAATCTGCCAGTTTCAGCCGGACCTTGGAGCATCTGTCTGATTCTGTTTCCATCTTGTGCTCACACGATCTCTTTGGAATCGAGTTCCTATTTGAAGTCCTCGTTACCGATAAGCTTGAATACCCTTTGGCAGTTTGCGAGGCCATGGTGTCGTTTCTCATCAACAATCGGTGGTGCTGCGAGTCAGCAATCAGCAAGCCAGCCTGCATAGGCGGCTGATTGCGCAATGCTGCATGAAGGTCACAGAACGTCACAAGCACCGAATCTAGCAGGTGAGCGAAAGATTCCTGCTCCGACGCAGCCCAAGGCCAGAAAAATGCTGTGTGTAATCTGTGTCCCAACATGCCATGGAGTGTTCGAGCATTCGAGCAGCGAGGAGCCGCGGCTGTACGTCATGGATGTTGGTCAAGGCTGGTGGACAAGTTGCCCCGCTGTGCAGCTGCGGCCGAACGTGTGAGGAAGCGCCATGCGGCCCAAACTCGCTATAGATTGTTTGGCCGCGCGCATCGTGGCATCCAGGCTCGTTGGCGTCCTTAGGATACCTTACGGGTACAAGTGGCAGCGTGATGCAACCAGACCAGCCGAGCATTCAGTGTTTCGAGTTGTCGAGAAGTGTTGCTTGCAATGTGGTGGCGTGCTAGGATCAACATTCTGGTGTTCCACTGCCGGGAAGACCTTCTCTGCGGTGGAAAGGATTATGAGCTTGCAGAGAACTTGTGCGGAGCCTGGTGCTCAGCTACAACTGAAACAGAGTCGTGCCAGCAAAGCTATCGAGCTCTGGTTTTGCAATGCCAAGGCAAGGGGGCAAAGCATGGCAAAGCCGATGACCGCAAACACATCTTTCGTGCACCTTTGCAGCTCACCTTTCACACCGCGTCTGACGGATGCCGGCCATGCTCGTGAGGTTTTATGTCCGTAGGTCGTGCCTACATGCCTAAAGGCCTTTCGCTAAGTGTTGCTCATACCTGCGACACGGTCAAGAGAAGACCCGTGAGCATGAGGCCACCTCAATTCCGTAGATCCCCATGCGTGTGTGTGGAGCGAGGGGGTCTAGCATAAGAGCTCAGAAAGAGTTCAGGAGCGTCATGTCTAAACACCAATGCCGCCGCAGCACTGAAAAGCATTGAGATTCGGAAGCGCGGCCCCGAGCGCCCGAGTAGATCGTGCTCCCTTCTCTTCCCTCTGCTTTCACCGGCACGAAAGGGTTCTGCACAGATGCGAAGATCGAGAGATGACCACGTCACAATCAATGACCCGAGTCACGCTCATCCTCCAGAAGGCCACCGCTGCACAGTGAAAGGAATGAACGATACCAAGTGCCAGCGGCGCCTCAATTCCCTCGATCCCCGCGCGCGTTTGGAGCGAAGAGTCTAATTCTCAAAAGAATTCAGACTAGCGCGCGTCTGTATTGCTGAGCACCAGTGCCGGGCGGAGTTCCTGGTCGATACAGCAGTGAGGTTTGGAAAATACGTCAGGAGCACCCGAGTGACTAGATCGCAAGTGTGGCTCTGTTCTCTTCCCCCTGCTGCTTGGGCCAGGAGCCGGCAAGAGAACACGAAATCGCCCATTCGGGATCCTGCGAAGGGACTGCCAAGCCGCTCGCCGCGCAGCCTTTCCATTTTCATAAGAACAGACGACATGTCCGACTCCTCGTGCCTGAAGGATGGCCCTCTGAAGGGTTCTTAATGGGCCACAGGTCTTGCAACGTCTGCCCTCAGTCGCTGCGGGACATCAGCAAAAGACGTCGGCGAAGGTTTCTAGAAGAGCAGATGCTACTAGTAAGAAGAGGTGCTGAGAGGCAAAAGACCTTGAGTCTTCGATGCTGCCGACGCACGTGATGCCCGCAACAATCGTGGCAAGGCCAAGCAAAGCACATCACAATGTGGAAACTTGCGCTGGTCCCCAAGCAGTGAGAGCCTTCTTTTCTGGGAGGCCTGAGGCAGATCTCGCTCTCTTTCAACTATAAGTTAAGCAGCAAGCAATGCAGCAAGTGACCTGGCAGGCCACTCGTCTGATGGCCGTTTAAAGCCTTCGGCCATCCAGAAGTCCAGCAACGAGAACAATGCAGTACCGCTGCTGTACAGCTTGTTTCCAAAGCAAAAAAGGGTCTAAGAGTCTGAGATCCGTGGGCTTCTCCCCATTTTGGTCGGACGCAATTGGATATCGCGTGCATCGATTCGGCTCCTATCAGTCCAGACGTGGGGACAAGGCAGCTTGCAGTCAGTGTGTGTGTGTGTGTGTGTGTGTGTGTGTGTGTGTGTGTTTGTGTGTGTGTGTGGGTGTTGGTGTGTGTTGGTGTGTGCTTTGACAAACATTTTCGGGATCAAAGGCTCTGGTCTTGGCAGCTTTGGGAGTCTAGACGTGACGGTTACGGGTTTCCAGGTTCAAGGCGGTTTTGGGTTTAGGATGTGGGGTTCGTAGGGCACACTGGATTGAGGTTCGGGGAAGCCTTTCCCGTTCAACATGCCGCTGCAGGCTGATCACAACGTCTGGGGGGCGTGGCAAGCCGACCATCGCGGGGAAGATGCCGCCAAAAGAGTCCGCCAATCAGCTGGTTCCTTCCAATCTGCCCAAGCGAGGATCTAGGCTTGTCCGTTTCGCGCCTCAGTCCATGTATTGAGGGGCTTTTTCTTGGAGCTTCAGGAGCTGATTGTTCGGTTCTCAGTCCAGGTTGCGCTGCGCCGCCCTTGAGCAAAACCACCTCACAACGCGGCTCCTTCATATCACCCTTCATGCGTATTCCAGGTTTGTGTGGGTTTATTTGTTGCTTGCAGCATCCACCCCCACGGCAAGCCGCTCCCGGCCATGAATTCCCCTGGCTGCCCCTCAAAGAGGGGCCGGTCTGCAGCTAATGGCGCAATCATTTCAGGGTTTGGTTCTTTAATCTACAAGAGTGCTCCTGCCAACGATGCTGACAATATGAGATTGGTGCACCACCAGCTTCACATGTTCCCATTGCTTCCACTTTGCAAGGTTGTGGAGACCGTCTTCCAAGCATCTTCGGGATTTGCGCGCATTTTGGTCAGGCTCCATCGCTCCGGCAGGAGCCACAAGGCCAACAGCTGCCAGCGGCCATGCGGGGAAGATGCGGCCAAAAGAGTCCGCCAATCAGCTGGTTCCTTCCAATCTGCCCAAGCGAGGATCTAGGCTTGTCCGTTTCGCGCCTCAGTCAATGCATTGAGGGGCATTTTCTTAGAGCTTCAGGAGCTGATCAGGGCAAAATAGATGGGGATACCAAAGTAACAGAACAGCAAAATGACCTTCGACGAGGTTCGCCAAAGGTCATCGCCCCAGCACTTCTTCGAACAACATTCGTGTTTGCGGTGCTTGACAGATGGCCTTCGTCAAATGTCCGGGTTCATGTGGCTTGGGCATTAAGCTTCGTCGAAGGCTGGGCCTTCGTCGAAACTTCGTCTAACCTTCGTGTCCGGGTTGCCTTTGTGGCCCTTTGTGGAAGGTGTAAGCCTTCGTCGAACGTTCGCATGCCGTTTGCCTTCGTCGAAGGTTCGTGCGGCGCGATGCCCTTCGTCAAAGCAGTTTGCCTTCGTCCAAACTTGTTTGGTGCCCTATGCATTCGTCAAACTTCGTTGGGGGCCGCGGCGACTTGCAAGGGTTCGCGAGAGCTCATATGCCGTTCTGCTCTTCGGCTGTCCCCATTTGTTTGCCCTTTAGGCGATTGTTCGGTTCTCCGTCCAGGTTGCGCTGTTCCTTCATATCACCCCTCATGCGTATTCCAGGTTTGTGTACGGCAAGCCGCTCCCGGATGATGATCATTTTTTTGGCTGACACTCTTTGAGGGGCCGGTCTGCAGCTAATGGCGCCCAACAGTGCGACACTGCTTTTGGTGGCCCTGTGTTCTACACCTTGTCCTCAAAGGATCTCAAAGGCAATCGCTCCGGCAGGAGCCACAAGGCCAACAGCTGCCAGCGGCCATGCGGGGAAGATGCGGCCAAAAGAGTCCGCCAATCAGCTGGTTCCTTCCAATCTGCCCAAGCGAGGATCTAGGCTTGTCCGTTTCGCGCCTCAGTCAATGTATTGAGGGGCTTTTTCTTGGAGCTTCAGGAGCTGATTGTTCGGTTCTCAGTCTAGGTTGCGGTGCGCCGCCCTTGAGCAAAACCACTTCAAAACCCGGCTCCTTCATATCACCCTTCATGCGTATTCCAGGTTTGTGTGGGTTTATTTGTTGCTTGCAGCATCCGCCCCCGCGGCAAGCCGCTCCCGGCCATGAATTCCCCTGGCTGCCCCTCAAAGAGGGGCCGGTCTGCAGCTAATGGCGCAATCATTTCAGGGTTTGGTTCTTTAATCTACAAGAGTGCTCTTGCCAACGATGCTGACAATATGAGATTGGTGCACCACCAGCTTCGCATGTTCCCATTGCTTCCACTTTTTACGGTTGTGGAGACCGTCTTCCAAGCATCTTCGGGATTTGCGCGCATTTCCGTCAGGCTCCCCCACGGGAAGAGCGACAGCTGTGCCAAGCGCGTCGTAAGGTCTGGCGCCGCAGACCAACAGTGCGACACTGCTTTTGGTGGCCCTGTGTTCTACACCTTGTCCTCAAAGGATCTCAAAGGCAATCGCTCCGGCAGGAGCCACAAGGCCAACAGCTGCCAGCGGCCATGCGGGGAAGATGCGGCCAAAAGGGTCCGCCAATCAGCTGGTTCCCTCCAATCTGCCCAAGCGAGGATCTAGGCTTGTCCGTTTCGCGCCTCAGTCAATGTATTGAGGGGCATTTTCTTGGAGCTTCAGCAGCTGATTTTTCGGTTCTCAGTCCAGGTTGCGCTGAATCCAGTTTCGGCAGCTATGGTGTCTCACTGTCGTTTGCGTCTGTGAGGGGTCTGTCCTGGATCTCGATGGGGGGGTCGCAAATTGCCTACAGATGCAACACAGGAGTTCTGTTCGTGCCTGCAGCACAAACCAATCATTTCAGGGTTTGATTCTTCATGAATCTACAAGAGTGCTCCTGCCAACGATGCTGACAATATGAGGTTGGTGCACCACCAGCTTCACATGTTCCCATTGCTTCCACTTTCCAAGGTTGTGGAGACCGTCGTCCAAGCATCTTCGGGATTTGCGCGCATTTTCGTCAGGCTCCCCCACGGGAAGAGCAGCTAATGGCGCAATCATTTCAGGGTTTGATTTTTCATGAATCTACAAGAGTGCTCCTGCCAACGATGCTGCAGCATCCACCCCCACGGCAAGCCGCTCCCGGCCATGAATTCCCCCGGCTGTCACTCTTTCAGGGGCCGGTTTGCAGCTAATGGCGCAATCATTTCAGTTGATTTGTCATGAATCTACAAGAGTGCTCCTGCCAACGATGCTGACAATATGAGATTGGTGCACCACCAGCTTCACATGTTCCCATTGCTTCCACTTTGCAAGGTTGTGGAGACCGTCTTCCAAGTATCTTCGAGATTTGCGCGCATTTTAGTCAGGCTCCATCGCTCCGGCAGGAGCCACAAGGCCAACAGCTGCCAGCGGCCATGCGGGGAAGATGCGGCCAAAAGAGTCCGCCAATCAGCTGGTTCCTTCCAATCTGCCCAAGCGAGGATCTAGGCTTGTCCGTTTCGCGCCTCAGTCAATGAGCTGATTGTTCGGTTCTCAGTCCAGGTTGCGCCGAATCCAGTTTCGGCAGCTATGGTGTCTCACTGTCGTTTGCGTCTGTGAGGGGTCTGTCCCGGATCTCGATGGGGGGGTCGCAAATTGCGTACAGATGCAACACAGGAGTTCTGTTCGTGCCTGCAGCACAAACCAATCATTTCAGGGTTTGATTCTTCATGAATCTACAAGAGTGCTCCTGCCAACGATGCTGACAATATGAGGTTGGTGCACCACCAGCTTCACATGTTCCCATTGCCTCCACTTTCCAAGGTTGTGGAGACCGTCGTCCAAGCATCTTCGGGATTTGCGCGCATTTTCGTCAGGCTCCCCCACGGGAAGAGCGACAGCTGTGCCAGGCGAGTCGTAAGGTCTGGCACCGCAGACCATCCCTATCTGGGGAGCAGGACAATTTGCCTTAAGCCTCACCCAGGCCTCTCACCCTACTAGATAAATGAATTGCCTTCGGCATTTTCCAACCCCCCCCCTACCCTTAATCCAAGGGGGATCCAGGGCTTGGTATTGCGAAAGCTCGGGCTCTGCAGCACTGATGCTGCAGTCGGAATCTGCTTCTGGCCCGACGTCCGAGCTGCACTGGTCAACCACTATGTAGTGTGCTCACTCACATGCTTGCCTGCCAGCTGTCGTCCTTTCCCACGAGCCCACCAGGCATGTGCGACATGCTCTACAATTTCCATCTTGGAATGTAACTAACTAAGGCTAGCGTTGAGTGTACCTTTGCCTGAAACTAACACGCGCGCTCACCCAGGATCAGGTCTTGCTTTCCTTTTGCAATCTTCTCGCGCACCTGCCTACACCAAATCGTGGTTCTTAACCACGGTCGCGCTCAAACATGGCTCCCGCACATCACCCCTCAGAACTATGTTGCTTGCAGCACCCATCCCTGCGGCAACTCGCTCCTCTTTTGACCATATGTGCTTTGTTGGAATCTGGTACCTTGGGCCACCTCCCTTGCCGGACCCTGGCCCTTGAGGGGGCTTGCTAAAGAGTTTTCGCCTGCGAATCCTCCAGACCCGCGCCTTGACGTTCATGAGACCAGCTGAGGTCCTGATCAGGGGTCAGGTTCAGTTCGATGATGCACCATGTGCTGGCTTGGTTGCAGTAGGATCCGGAAGTCCGGTAGGGCATGGCAGCTTGCAATCATTAAGAGAGGTTTGGCTTAGCCGAGGGCCACCAAAACAGTGAAATCGCCACATCTCTGACGTTGAGCACCGCCGGAGAGTTGTTCTCGTGGCTCCTTTTTCCATATAGGGTTCCAATCCTGTTCCAAGCCCTTGCCTCTGGCCTTTAGAGTGCGCGAATGTCCATGCTTATCAAGGCTCACAGCTCAGACTCTTGGCATCCAAAGAATCTCCAGGGGATGGTCTCGATTGTTGCATTCTCAATACAAAGCAGGAACTTAACTTGCATGCACGGGGGAGCGAGGACCCATGTCCGATGGAGGGGGGGGCCCTTACCCTAGCTTACTCCAAGTCGGGTGTATGAGTCGACCGAGGTCCCTTTTGCCACCTGGGGCTGTAGAACGCACTGCGTGCGCACGTCTGCGCAGGTAGGAAGAAGCTGACCCAAGCCTCCACGAAGGCCACTGCCGAAGAACGCAGAATGTTTGCTCCTCATCATAGAGGTCGCACATGCCCAGATGAAATGCTAGGCTTAGGCCCAAAAAATTTGCTGGCTAGATTTCTTTTCCTGAGGGATGCGGGGCTGCGGCTCCTGAATTCCATCCTGCATACTGTGCGGGCAAGCGAACTAGCGCAGGAGAAGGGCCCCCTCCGTAGGAGCCTGTGGCCAAGGTCTTTGCATTTTCCATAGCTTGTGTATGCTTGCGCATGGCCAACTGCCACTGCTTGTGCACCTGAATATTGTGCAATAGTTGCTTCGGTACCAAGTTCTTTGGAAGCGCATGTGAGCGACTGGCCAAATCCCGCGCCTCTCTAGGCAGCTATTGGGGGGACATTAGCAATTTGCTGCGGAAGCGATACCTGACCCCAAAAGCGATAACCCTGAATATCATCGTTTTGATTGAGACTGGATACCTAACCCCAAGAGCGATACCCTCAATGAAATGTCCCAGTCGTGGCCTCTAGGTTTTTGCCGCGCGCTCATGTGAAATGATGAACATGTGGAGTGGACCGCCGTCCATCGTAGGGGGACGAGTGCGTAGACGATCACGTTTTCACCTCGGTGCCTGTGCGCTACTCGGCGCGTGAAAGCGCAAGCAAATGAAACTCCCTGCCTGTCGTGTGGGTAGTTGATTGGGGTGTAGGGCCTGAAGTGCAGAATGTGCCGAAAGAGCCCCAAGAAATGTTCTCAGTGACTTCAGCAAGCGCGCTTGACTTTGGGGTTTCTCTCGGACTCCGCTTCCCGCTCGCGGGAAGACAGAGACAAGTCGCGTCATCGGGCACCTTGTGCGGCTTCGCTCATGAGAAGAGCTTCCAGACAAACTCTCCCCCTCTTTGCTACACGACATGAGCGTGGTTGAATAGTTTTCAGAAGTAGGGAGCCGCAGGCAGGTGCCATTTTGTTCACATTCGGGCTCTGGGGTTTTTCTCCCAGACGTGGTGTTACCCACAGCTCTTGTGTAGGGGGACTTACCCTTCCTTTCTTGCGGGGGAATGGTTTCCATGTTTCCGTTTCGGAGGAGCTGCGCGGACCTCCTTATCTTTGGACGCGCAGTTGGACAATTATGGTCTTCAGACGTTGAATCGCCGAAGATTGCAACTTCTTTCGTTTCCACTGAAGGCGAAGATTCTCCGGACGTTGCCATGAACATCACCCCTTTCAGATATTGCCTAACGGGGCTGCTAACCCGGGGGGTGCGCTAGGCATTAGACTGCCGAGCGCCTCCCGGAAATGCATAGCGCACCCCCAAGCACAACCATGCCGGACGTTCTTCGACTGGAAGGTTCATGTGTCTGCTTCTCTGAAATCGGGGCCCAGAAGCCAGAGTATGTCTTCACGGTGCCCTCGATGCCGGTACTGGGGAAAACCCGCATGCCCTTCGGGAAATGTCTTTAAAGTTGAGGGACCCGACTTAGGGCTTGTTGTGGGGCGCCGAAAGCACGTGCCCTTCCTATCTGACTCGTTCACCAACTTGTGTCGCAGCAAGTTGGATGCACAAACGAAGGAGTCAAGGGACGGTGCGCTTGCGCCGTCGCGATTTGGTGCATTCGGAGCCCTGGGAGGCCGGGTTGAGAGGTGCAGGTTGGACACCCGGAGGCCAGATTTGAAGGTTGGTGCAGTTGCTGAAACATATTCGTGGCAGAGGGTCTCGGTCGCACTGATCGGCGCAGATCAAGTCCATCCCTCCGCAGAACGCTCGAGACTTAGTCAAAAGTCCCCACCTGCCTGCGTTGGAGGGATTTCCGTTGCCCAGGCCACAGGCACATGCAGGCAAGCACAAAGCTTCGCATTCCTGACTGCTTGCCTCGAACCTGGGTGCGCTTGGGGTTTGACATTCAGTGTTGTGCCTTTTGTCACATGGAGTGCCTTGTCATCCTGAAAACAGTCGACCCCAGGTCCAGGGCAGTGCTAGGCATTCCCGCACCCAGAAAACCTGCCTAACAACCCCCCCCCCTCCGCTAGTAGTAGCAGGTGTAGGAGGGGTGATCCATGAACATTAATATAGGAAGTACATTGCGGCCGTGGGCCAAGCGAATGCTGTTCAGCGTAGTTTTTGCCACCTCACTCATGACGCCAAGAAACCCATGTTGAGGCTTAATGATTATATCACAGCAATCCGTTGGACTCGCTACGCATACGACAGTCGGCCACAGCAATCCGTTGCTAGCTACGCATATGACTCACTGCAACAGCACTGCGACGAATGCCAGGCGTATGGAGATTATTATTTTCGCTGCTTTCCGTCGGTGCCCGCCATGTCCTGTGCTCTGTGTGCCCTGGTCCCTGCCCTACTTTTATTGTCCTGGTGTCCCTGGCCTTCGCTTGGGTCAAGCTGACTCCCAACGCAAAGGCAGAGGTGCGGCGACTACACCCGGCCCCGCCTAGAGAACAGAGTCTTTTTGGGGAGCGAGCAACCTGTTAAGAAGGACCCAAAAGCGGCTCACCTGGCAGTTACTTCCTTCCTCACACGACTCTGAGTGGCTTCTTCTTTCTAGTTGCCATTCTGACCTGGCGCCGGCCGATGTAGGGTGTCAGGGCTGCTCAGATCAAGCCAGCCAGATGTGCCCAAGAAATGCCATTGGGGGTATGGGGACTGGCGGTTGGGGTCCCGAAGGTGTTCCGAAGGTGTTCCGAAGTTGCCGGCAGGCTGTCGGCGTCTGCGGATCCTTAAACAGGGGTGCACTCGTTGAAAGTGATTTCCTCCACCCTCCCACAAGGATGCCCACACGCCATGGGAACCTGAGCAAGGCAGAGCCAAGCCGGCCTTCGGTTGACGTCTCGTAGCCCTGTGACTCAGATGAACAAGCACAAGTTGCACGATCACTTTTCCGTAAGTCCTTGATGTTGCGGTTTCGAAGCGCACCAGCGATCTCATTGTCCCTAAAGAACTTCTTCATCTCTGCCCCTTCATCCCATGGTTCATCTTCTTTATCCTTACCCACTGATGCCACATGCAGACGTGCCGCCGTCACTTCTAGCCGATATTTCACCTGCGCTATTCTCTTTTCTCTCTCAAACAGCTGAGCTTCAAACGACTGACCCTCCTTGCCGGCCGTGGCCGTATGCACTATGTCCTCGGTGATCTTCCTCGCTATCCCTCTCATCTTCTCTCTTGCATATTTTGCCTTCACCTTCATGAACTTTGCCATACGGCCAACCGATTGCCACGGCTCTGGGCTCATCTTCGGCACATCTCTTTTTGATGACTCACTGCCAGTTCCCAACAGACCCGGCGCGAACGAAGAAGGCGTGTTAGGAGGCATGGGACGGGGGACTTGCAGAGCCGATCACAAAGTGCAGTTGCGTTTGAGGCACACAGCATCACTCCTTGACGGCAGCTTGCTTGCAGAAAGAGGGCTTGAGATGCATAGACCACACTTGCCGGAATTTTAGTGCCGAACCTGCAACTGGGAAGCTCGAGCCGCGGTACACGCCCGCACACCTCCCACACCATTGCAATCCGAACAACCGACACCCAAGACCATGCCCGACGCTGCGCCGCTGCGCACCATGCCTATGCCTATCGCTACACTCCGCTACGCCCAATGTTATGCCCAACGCTACGCCCGAACGCTAAGCCCATACCAGGAGACGAGGAGACCGGTCCACTGATTTGGCCCCGGAGAGTTGGCACCAGCCAGCCCTGGGAGCAACAGCGAAAGCACTCTCTCGTCACTGAATTAGTTGGCATTTGGCGCATGCCCCTCTTCTTGTTTGCCCAATGTTGCCCTCTCCACTCTCTACGCTCTCTGCAAGAATCTGCAAGAAGCGTTGATCCCTCTTAAGCCCGAAGGGCGTCGAAGGAAACCTGGAACGTCGGATCCAGGCCGAAGTTGGCCTGTGTGGTCCAAGATCACAGCTGCATTTGGCGAAACGGCCGCGTCTACTTCAACCAAACTCTGCGGCTTCGCTCATGAGAGGAGCTTCCAGACAAACTATCCCCCTCTTTGCTACACGACATGAGCGTGGTTCCCGAGTGTAACATTGCAGTCCGCCGTCTGGCAGCCGTGGAGGCAAACTTGCAACTTCAGACGTTAAACCGCCGAAGATTGCAACTGTCTCGTTTCCACTGAAGGCGAAGATTCTTCGGACGTGCTTCATTGGTCTGCCATTATTAAATAGGAAGCGCATAGCCCGGAATCAGCAAACCCCTTCCTTGGCTTCTAGGCCTCATCGCAAATCGTGAGGCCGATGGCGTGTTGGTCCCTCTTCAATTGCTGCAGCCATGGTAGCCGTAGCCTACCAAGGGTGTCTAACACTCCAGGAAACTAGCGGTTTCCTCTTTGCAAGCGGGGCTGACGACATCCCACGCCCGAAGCCCTCCCAATGTCACGTCTCTCGTCATGCATCTCAGCTCCCAGACCTCCCCTTTAAGGGCTGACCGTTCGTCGTGTCAGAGCACTTTTCCGCCCCACATCCCTGCTCGTGTGCGTCAGAGCGTGCGGTGCATTGTGGTCAACACAATCTTAATCGTGCCTCTGACTGGATACCTGTCATGCTGCCTTCTCGGATAGATCGCACACGCACACATATTTTGAGCTTGGAGTACGCAGTGTTTGCCGAACGTACCCCCTCACATACAGAGGGGGATAAAGGCAAACGAGGAGTACAGGCAACCGCAATCCAGCCTTCGGTATGAGTCTCTCACGAACTTGAGTGGATGCCGTCCGCTCTGCCAGGTTGAAGAGCATCGAGGCCATCCCACGCCATTGCAATGTATAAACCAACCCTGGAGCGATGGAAGAAGGATTCCCCGATGTCAGTATAAGAGTCAGAGTCCGCCAATGCAGCGCAGGTGCTTGGCGCGATCCACACAGTGACTTGTCGCACGGAGCAATAGCATGTGCCGCATGTCACCGATCAGCCGAGTTCCAGACGTGAGGTTCGGGAATGTGCCGTGAGAAGGCGTCGCCGGCGGCGAAAGCAGCCAAGATTGTACACAAAATCGAGGGCTCCCAGCCTCGGCTGCTAAGCCTGCTAAGCCTAAGCCCTGTTCAACGCACCTTCGGCATAGCACTTTCCCTTCGCATCGATTGCCAAGGCTGCTGTGCCTTTGAGTCCGTTGCAGGCAGGCGAAGATCTTCGTGTTTCACCTTGCCTTCTGTCCTCAGGCTTTGCGCTTTTACCACCAGCGCGGTGGCACTGGGCGGCACTGCCGTGGGCGGAACCCACTCGCACATCCTGCGACGCAGGCGATGCAGCGGTTTATATTGATGCAACGCCCGGCTGCAGCTTCCCTGCCAGAGGATGTGCAGAGCTCTGTGGGCACAGATGCCGCAGACAATGAGGCCTTGGAGAGACGCCACACAGCGGCTCAAATCACTCGGAAAAGAACCGGTTTCGTGGTGGGGCCTTGACAAAATGGGGGACAAACACTCCCGGCGACCCCTACACGGCCTACACGTACATGACATGATGTGCTGTGATGTTGCGTTGGCTTACAGCAATTCTGTGAGTAATCAAAGTGCTGCTTCGAGTGGAAACACATCCTGAACGGTAAGATCCCGGCGACGGGGTCCTCTAGACAGCGAGGACCGAACAACAGGATAGCCCCACAGCTAAACACATACACTGTCTCAACCACACAGTAGCCTCCGGAATATTTGACGTAGCGCCGCAGCCAAGGCAGCTAGCTTTTCTCATTCAAACGGATGCTTCGATAATTGGAAACCATGTTGACTTGGGCTGTGGAGTTTCAGCTGCGATGTGGTGAGTAGGGAGGAGAAGGCATGTGTTTACATCAACAATCAGTTGTTATGTTCTTGTACGTGCGTTGGAAACAGTAGGTGAGTTTGATGACCTCGTGTTGTCTCCCCCCCCCTCGAACTCAATGCTCCCATCAAACTTCCTTCCCCCCTAAACACTGGCTTGGATGTTGAATCTAGGAAGGCCTTCACATGGTTACCTGGTTCCCTTCCATTCTTCGCGCATGACTTGTCTAAGTCTCGGGTCGACTGCGCCGAAGAAGCCAAGTTTTACGCCAAGCGCATATGAGCATGTGCTGATCTTCACCAGCATATGTCAGTTTGTCCATGGTCTTGCTGTGTCAGCTGATTCTCTAGAAGGGTCGGGTGAGGAATTCCGAGAGCCTTCGGATCCCTTTGCCCATGATCCAGCTGAAGAGTATGCCAAAGACCTCCTGACAAAACGTGGTGATATTCAGTCCAATCAAGTTCGTAAGATCTTTGGACTTGTGAAACGTGGTTCCGCGTCCCGAGGGATTGAGCCGAGCGATGACTCGTCCTTTGCGGTAGGTTGCTTCCGTCGAGGTGGTGTGGTCGGTCTACTGAAGTCCAAGAAAGGGAACAAACACGGAGTCACAAACTACCCCCGATTCAGAAACTACGGTTCAGAAACTATTTCGTCCGATTCAGAAACTACTTGGTCCGGTTCAGAAACTGCGGTTCAGCAACTATTCTCTCGGATTCAGAAACTATTTCGAACCGATTCAGAAATTGTTGCTCAATTTCAGGAAACTCCCGCGATTCAGAAACTACGGTTCAGAAACTATTCCGTGCGATTCAGAAACTATTCCGCGCGATTCAGGAACTATTTTCAACCGATTCAGAAACTATTCCGCGAGATTCAGAAACTATTTTGCGCCGATAAATCACACCCCCCTCATGTGTCCCCACACCTCGACTTTCAACTCTTCTCTCAGAGATATTTCTAAATCCCACCCCCTCTCATTAGTACTCACACTTCGACATTCAACTCTACTGTCAATTATATTAAATCTCACCCCTCTCATTTCACCTCTCACCTCACTCATTTCTCCCCACACTTCGAGTTTCAATTCTTCTCTCCGGATTATGTTAAATCACACCCCCTTCATTTGTCCTCACACCTCTCATGTGTACTCACACCTCGACCTTCAACTCTTCTCTCAGAGATATTTCTAAATCCCACCCCCCCTCATTTGTACTCACACTTCGACATTCAACTCTACTCTCAATTATGTTAAATCTCACCCCCCACTCATTTGTACTCACACCTCGACTTTCAACTCTTTTTTCAGAGATATTTTTAAATCCCACCCCCCCTCATTTGTACTCACACTTCAACATTCAACTCTACTGTCAATTATGGGAAATCTCACCCCCTTCATTTCTCCTCTCACCTCACTCATTTCTCCCCACACTTCGAGTTTCTATTCTTCTCTCCGGACTATTTTAAATCACACCACCCTCATTTGTTCACACACCTCGACTTTCAACTCTTCTCTCAGAGATGTTTTTTAAATCCCACCCCCCCTCATGTGTACTCACACTTCGACATTCAACTCTACTCTCAATTCTCACCTCACTCATGTCTCCCACACTTCGAGTTTCATGTCTTCTCTCCTCCGGATTATTTTAAATCACACCCCCCTCATTTGTCCTCACACCTCGACCTTCAACTCTTCTCTCAGAGATATTTCTAAATCCCACCTCACACTTCGACATTCAACTCTACTCTCAATGATGTTAAATCTCACCCCCACTCGGGGTGGGGCGGGGGGGGGGGGAGGGGGGGGGGGGGGGGGGGGGGGGGTGGGGAGGGTTGAGGGGGATGCAAATCCAAGCATTCTTGGCAAGGCTTCCTCAGGTGCGCCCAAAGAAGGTGTCGGCGGAGAAGATGAAACCTCGACTCGCCACCTTTCCTCACGAAGGCGACTGTGCCCCGTCGGCTCAAGCTTGCGGCAACAAAGCGACCCGCAAGCAAAGGGGAACCGAACCGGAAGCCATGTGGAAGGCGCTCCTCACACTCGGGTCCCTCCTGGCCTTCGGAAGGGCCGAGGAGGATGGCTCCTGCATGCTGCAGGCGCAGCAGGCCCAGCACATGGAGTCCCTGAAGGAGAGGCAGGAGGCGAAGCGAGAGATGGCCCTAGAGAAGGCCCGGTTCAAGCACGCCCTGCACACGAAGTCCTGGAACCAGCAGTTCTGCAACTCGGATGCCCAGCAGGTACCCCTTCTTCCCTTTTTTTTGGGGGGGGTTTAGGTTCCCTTATGAAACCCCTTTTAAGCAAAAAAGGGCACCCTAAACCCTAAACCCTAAACCCTAAACCCTCAACCCTCAACCCTAAACCCTAAACCCTAAACCCTAAACCTATGGGTTACTGGGCAGCCTAGGCAAGGGCCCCACGACGGAACTAAACTTCGACAGCTTCACCCACGGGACCGAGATCAAGCCCTCCTCGGTGAAGTTCGTCAGCATCAAGGCCACTCTATATATCCCCCTTGGGAATTATTTTTTTAAGATACATTTTTGTTTATATAAAACCCAAGAGGATTTTTTAAAAGCATCTTATTTTTATGAAGGTTCTCAGGGGAGTATAGGCCACCCGCCGCGCTACGGCACCTCAGCCGGGCGTCCCCAAGCCTTGCCCTGGCCCCCTCTTGGTGTTGGACACGCGGGAGGACCGAAACCCGAAACCCCGAAGGGTAACCTGAAACCTTAAACCCTAAACCCTAAACCCTAAACCCTAAACCCTAAACCCTAAACCCTAAACCCTAAACAGGGCCCTAAACCCTAAAGCCAGACCCCGCTTTTCGAATCCTAAGAGCAAGACCCCCTTACAAACCCTGCAAACCCTACAAAGCCTAAAAACCGACAACCGTAAACCCTAAACCCTAAACCCCAAACCCTAAACCCTAATCCCTGCAAACCCTACAAAGCCTGAAAATCGTAAACCCTAAACCCTAAACCCTAAACCCTAAACCCTAAACCCTAAACCCGCGAACCCCCCGGAGGACTACCGCAGCGTAGACAAGGATCTCCAGAGGTGCAAGGACTGCTTCGGGTTTTGGGGTTTTAGGGTTTTAGGGTTTTAGGGTTTTAGGGTTTTAGGGTTTTAGGGTTTTAGGGTTTTAGGGTTCTAGGGTTCTAGGGTGTTTGGGTTTTAGGGTGTTAGGGTTTTAGGGTGTTAGGGTTTTAGGGTTTGAGGGTTTTAGGGCTTTAGGGTAAGGTTTTAGAGTTTTAGGGTTCCTTTTTCAGGTTTTAGGGTTTAGGATTTGGGTTACCCCTCGGAGGACTGCCGGATCGTGGTCTGGTCCAAGGACGGCAACCGGCGCAAGGTGAACGACTGCGGCGAGCACCCAGGCAAGGGGCCTTCCCCCCCACCTGTATGAAGCTTCTAGCATCCTAGGCCTGTAGTGATACAGCACACGGAAGCGCCTAAACCCTAAACCCTAAACCCTAACCCTAAACCCTAAACCCTAAACCCTAAACCCTACACCCTAAACCGTAAACCCTAAACCCTAAACCCTAAACCCTAAACCCTAAACCCTAAACCCTCTATGCTGCTCTCAATACCCAGGCGTGCAAGTGGACTTCCGCTTCAAGCGGCTTCAGGACCTGGAGGAGATCGAGCTCCTTGAAAACCAAATAGCCCGAAACCCGAAACCCTAAACCCTAAACCCTAAACCCTAAACCCTGTTGGGGTTCATTCGGTCCCCAAGGCTCTGGGACCTTGAGGAGCCCACCTTCGTGGAGCTCTACGGCCCCAAGCACCTGGGGCCTTGTTTCGGAACAATAGCTGTTTTTTTGATGGGTTTAGGGTTTAGGGTTTCGGGTTTAGGCTTTAGGGTTAGGGTGTAGGTAAGGGGTTTAGGTAAAGGGTGACTCATCCCTCTGGCAACAAACCCCACATGGAAAGGTCATGATCACAGGGCCTCCCCCCCCCCCCTTGCCCGAAGCCACCCCGCAGGAACAAGCTGCTGAAGAACATCTCGGCCCCTGATGGGCCGTCTCAGGATGGCAACCCCGCGATCTTGCAACTTGAGACCAAGGGCGTGCGCGAGATCAAGGTCCAAGGGGTATACGGAGGGACCCCCAGAAGGGACCCTTAATCCTATTGCCAAGGAAAACCCAGTATATAGCCTCTACATGTACCTTATATATCCCTTATGAGAGTCCCTCCTTGAGTCCCTTGAAAGGTCTACCTCGGAGGCTCCGGGGGCATCCGCCGGCTCACCGCGTGCGGGGGTGGTAGCGTCTTCGGCGACCCCCACATCTACACCGTGGACGGCGAGAAGTTCGACCTCTACGAGAACGGCACCTACACCGTGTTCCGCTACTCGGGCCAGAAGCTGGCGCACAAGTCCAATCACAAGAAGGCAAAGGCAGGGGTGGACTGGCAGCTCTACTCCCACTATGGTGGCCCCCTGTGGACGGCACAGGGCCTGCTTCTGGTGGACCAGTCCATGGGGCAATTCCGTCAGGCGCTGGAGCTGACCAGCAAGGACTGCCAGTGGCGCAGCAAGACCGGAGACGGCCAGTGGCAGAAAGTCACCAGGAAGGGCTCCCTGTTTCTGGAGGAGGCGCAGGACTACGCCACGAGCTTCGAGTACGTCAACGAGAAGAAGATCACGCTGCGCATGGCCGGCGAGCGCGGCACCAAGGACACCATGGTGCTGAACGCCGTGTGCAAGCCCAGTGGCATCAACTTGCGCGTGACGATGCCAGACATGGCAGAGACCCGCTACTTGGAGGGCCAGGTCCAGGCGGGCAACGGCCGAACGCACAAGAAGTTCCAGATCAACAGGGACTGGGCAAAGTTGGGCGGCAGCGCCGATTCTGCAGACTTCCTCCAGAACTTGGAGAGCCAGCTGGGCCAGCAGGCCTTTCTGCTCAAGCCGTGCGCGGATGCCGCGCGCGCCAAGGCCGAGAAGGCTTGCATCACGCACCTGGGCAAGGAGATGCGGAACGAGGAGGGCGTCGACGCGCAGATCTTCGATGACTGCGTCTCCGACGTGTGCCGGGGCGGGGAGGAGTTTGCCGAATCGGCGGCGGAGCTCCTGGCCTCTTTGGCCTCTTAAGAAGGGTCCCGCCGCTTCCACCGATGGCATAGTTTTGTGTCCGGCAAAGTTGTCCGGAAAGGCACGAAAGTGCCGCCATTTTAAGAAGCGTTCATTCAGGTAGTCCATCGGTTCCACGCCACTTTCCGTAGGAATGCGCAGTGGCTTTAAGGACTCGTCCGCGGACGCGACTCACACCGCAGGTGCAAAATGAGCCTCTGCGAATGCAGCGCCGGAGATCATGTGCGCAGTTGGGCTTGTGACGTGGGGAGCCGAGGAGGCTTTGCAAGGTGATTGGACCTTTGAGCTTTGAGGTGTCGGGAGTCGGCGCAGGGTATGGACATGTATAGACATGTAACATGTATATGCTTCTTGGAGCATGGGTGCAGACATCTGTGACGGCCGCATACTGGTCTCTGCTCAAAAAGCTTGCGGCACAAAGCGACCTGCAAGCAGAGACCGAACCGGAAAGCCCGCCCATGTGGAAGGCGCTCCTAGCCCTCGCAGCCCTCGCGCTGGCCGAGGAGGATGGCTCAGATGGCTCCTGCATGCTCCAGAAGAAGCATGCGCAGCCCAAGCTAGCAAGTGAAGACTTCGTCTTCTGCGATGGAGAGCCCAATGAGCTGAGCTTCAACAACTTCAGCCACGGCGACGAGGTCATGCCGGACTCGATTCCGGGCGTCACCATCGTCGCCACCCGCCGAGCCACGGCGCCGCAGCCGGGCCACCCCAAAAACTGCTCCGGGCCTTTGTTGATCTTGGACACCCGACACCCCGACTTCCGCAGCTTCGACAAGGACCTCAAGAATTGCACGGATTGCACCCTCATGCTTTGGTCCAAGGACGGCAATCGGAAGAAGGTCAACGACTGCGGCGAGCATCCGGGCGTGGCGATCAGCTTCACGTACGAGGAGCTAACGAACCTTTTGGACATTGAGCTCTGGGACATGGAGGAGCCGAGCTACGTCGAGATGTACGGTCCCGGTGGCGAGCTCCTCAAGAACGTCTCCGCCCCGGATGGTCCCGAACAGGACGGCAACCCGGCGGTGGTCGAGCTGATGACCGAGGGTGTGAAGGAGATGATCGTATACATGGGCGGCTCTGGAGCAGTTCGCAGGGTTCGTGAATGCAAGCCAAAAGAGCCCTTCTGCCCAGGGCCGCCCGGCGAGCTCACCTTCAACAGCTTCAGCCACGGCGACGAGATCGAGCCGGACTCCATCAAGGGCGTGACCATCACCGCCGAACGACGTGCAACGGCACCGCAGCCGGGCCACCCCAAGAACTGCTCCGGGCCTTTGTTGATCTTGGACACCCGACACCCCGACTTCCGCAGCTTCGACAAGGACCTCAAGAATTGCACGAATTGCACCCTCATGCTTTGGTCCAAGGACGGCAACCGAAAGAAGGTCAACGACTGCGGCGAGCATCCGGGCGTAGCTATCAGCTTTAAGTTCAAGAAGTTGCAGAGCCTAGTGGACATTGAGCTCTGGGACATGGAGGAGCCGAGCTACGTCGAGATGTACGGTCCTGACGACGAGCTGCTCAAGAATGTCTCCGCCCCAGACGGTCCGGAGCAGGACGGCAACCCGGCGGTGGTCGAGCTGATGACAAAGGGTGTGAAGGAGATGATCGTGTACATGGGCGGCTCTGGAGCAGTTCGCAGGATAAGGGCCTGTAAGGCTCCGGGCAGTGTTGTTGGCGACCCGCACATCTACACGCTGGATGGCGACAAGTTCGACTTCTACCAGCGACTCAACTGCAAGGAACCACAGTTGTGGCCCCTATAGCCCACTCACCCAAAAACGTAGACCCCAAACCCTGACACTGCCAGGAACGGGACCTTCTCCGTGTTCCACTACTATGGCCAGAAGCTGCTGCACCCCACAGAGAAGAATGCGACCGTCGACTGGTACCCTGACGACATCTCCTCACAGCTGGGGAGGGGGGGGGGCTTCCCTAAACCCTAAACCCTAAACGCTAAACCCTAAACCCTAAACCCTAAACCCTAAACCCTAAACCCTAAGCCCTAAGCCCTAACCCCTAAGCCCTAAGCCGTAAACCCTAAACCCTAAACCCCTAAACCCTAAACTTCATTGCCGAAGACCCCTTGTCCGCAAATGGCTCCCATCCTCTATGCAGCTCCTATGGTTCACGGACTCAATTCTGCAGCACCACACAAAATAGGTTTAGGGTTTAGGGTTTAGGGTTCAGGGTTTAGGGTTTAGGGTATATGCTAACATAAGAGGGTCAAGGGATGTTGATGGGGTAAAATTTAGGGTTTGGGGTAGAAGGTCATGCAGGATTTCGTCCATCAGCAGTAGGCATCGGCATTCTGGGTGCCTACGCCTTGAGCCTAAATCCTAAACCCTAAGCCCTAAAACCCTAAACCCTAAACCCTAAACCCTAAACCCTAAACCCTAAACCCTAAACCCTAAACCCTAAACCCTAAACCCGGAGCCTTCAAGCTAGGTTTCAGGGTTCAGGGTTGCCCTGCACCCTTAAGCCCCAAATCCTTGCGGCTTACAGGAGTCGGCCCTAAACCCTGAACCTAAAGGCTAAAGCTAAAGCCTAAAGCCTAAAGCCTAAAGCCTAAAGCCTAAAGCCTAAAGCCTAAAGCCTAAAGCCTAAAGCCTAAAGCCTAAAGCCTAAAGCTAAAGCCTAAAGCCTAAAGCCTAAAGCCTAAAGCCTAAAGCCTAAAGCCTAAAGCCTAAAGCCTAAAGCCTAAAGCCTAAAGCCTAAAGCCTAAAGCCTAAAGCCTATAGCCTATAGCCTATAGCCTATAGCCTATAGCCTATAGCCTAAAGCCTAAACCCTAAACCCTAAACCCTAAACCCTGAACCTCAACTCCCGAGGCAGCTCTACTCCCACTACGGCGGGCCATTCTGGACCGCACAGGGCGCCCCTGGCAGCGGCTTTGGGTTCGGGTTTAGGGTTTAGGGTTTAGGGTTTAGGGTTTAGGGTTTAGGGTTTAGGGTTTAGGGTTTAGGGTTTAGGGTTTAGGGTTTGGGGTTTAGGGTTTAGGGTTTTTAGGGTTTAGGGTTTCGGGTTTAGGGGTTAGGTTCTGCTACTAGTTGCTTAAGAACCCCTAAAGATTGGAAATATTCTTCCTCATTAAAGGTAATATGGGGATCATTATTTTTCATTCTTTTGGGGTTCTTAAGCAAATACTAGTCTAGGCATGACTTTGGGGCTAGGGTTGAGGGTTTCCGTCGGGTTTCGAGAGGGTTTAGGGCTAGGGGTTTTCGGGCTAAGGCTTTAGGCTTTAGGGTTTCAGGGCCTATGGGGTTTTGGGGTTGAAGGTTTCAGGTTTCGGGCTTCGGATTTCCGGCATGGCGCCCCAAATCCCAAATGGGCCCCCCTTCAGCAAGGATCCCACGCATGCCAAAATCTAAACCTTAAACCCCAAACCCCCCCCCCCATGTAACCTTCTGGTTTCAATGGGGAGTTTAGGGTTTGGGGTTCGGGGTTTGGGTTTAGGGTTTAGGGTGTTGAGGTTTTGGGTTTTAAAACTTTCTATTCCGAAGTGTATCTCTTGCTTAGATGCAAAGGGCTGCTCCTTGGATCAGCGTCGTATCATCATTGGCCCATTGAAGATGTTTGAGCTCAGAGATTATTTCTGAGTTTCCTCAAAAGCCCCCCTTTATACTCAGCAACATCAGGTATCTGTTATTCCACATCGAGGGAAAACAGAGTGAAGGGAACCGGCCACGCTGACCGTGGTGCTCATCGCAAGGCTACATGTGCGGTCCCCTGGTATAAGATTTCGTTGCTGTTCCCACTCTCTAAAGCTTCGGTGTCTCTTCTGCAAGAGCACTCCCAGACTACCCGTGAAGGCTCTTGTATCCCTTCCACCCACTCCCAAAAACCCGAGACCCCAGACCCCAAAACCCCAAACCCTCAACCCCAAACCCCAAACCCCAAACCCTAAACCCTAAACCCTAAACCCTAAACCCTAAATGCCCCCCAAAGGCGTGCTCCTTGTGGACCGCTCCATGGGCTCCATGCGGCAAGCGCTGGAGCTGACCTCGAAGGCCGGAGCTCGGTGAGCTTTAGAGGTTTTGGACCCCCTAAGCCCTAAAGGGGTTTAGGGTTTAGGGTTTGGGGTTTGGGGTTTAGGGTTTAGGGTTTAGGGTTTAGGGTGGAAGGGACTCAAGACGTTTGCAGATACAGGTTTAGTTCTTGCAGCCCTTGTGAGGGCTCCCCAGGCCTGTTGCCTCAGACGCGCCAGGACTGCCAGTGGTACAAGCGGGTGGGCCACACCTGGTTCCCTGTCAAAAGGAGGAGCCTCCTTGAGCCGGGTCTTTAGGTCAAGTCTCCGATGTAACCCCAAACCCCCAATCCCGAACCCGAACGACCTTAAGCTCTACAGTCCACGGTAGAGGATTCTGGGTCGGTTTCATAATTCCGAAACGGCCCGAAACCCTAAAACCTAACATCACCCCCTAAACCCTAACATCACCTTTGTAGTCTTCCTTGAGGTCCCTAGGCTTCCCTACCTTCCCATCTCGGGGACCATGCCCGGGTTTCTTGGGTTTAGGGTTTAGGGTTTCTTGGGCGTAGGGTTGCCTGGGCTTACACTTTTCTTTTGGGGCTCAGGAAGAAACCCACACAAAGATGAGCCCCTCCTGTCTTGTATTGCGCAAACCCAAGAAACCCGACACGAGACCCTACATCAAATCCAACGCCCCGCACCACAAGAAGCCTAAGAAACTCAAGAACCCTATGCCCTAAACCCTTAACCCCAAACCCCAAACCCCAAACCCCAAACCCCAAACCCCAAACCCCAAACCCCAAACCCTGAACCCCAAACCCTAAACCCTAAACCCTAAACCCTAAGCCGAAACCCTAAATCCTAAACCCTAACCCCTTCCGGATGTGTGACAGGAGCCTCCTGACCTTCACAGACCACGCGAGCCACAAGGCCTTGACCATGTTCGAGCACGTGCACGAGAAGAAGGTCGTTCTGAAGATGAAGAGCCCTGGGCTTCATAACTTGGGGTTTAGGGTTTAGGGTTTAGGGTTGAGGGTTTAGGGTTCAGGGTTTAGGGTTTAGGGTTTAGGGTTGAGGGTTTAGGGTTCTGAAGATGGAGAGGCTTGGCCAGTACATGGGGGGGGGGGGTTCCGAAAATAGGGGTGCCCTTTTGAGTCGTCCCTTCAAGGGGATTCAATTCTTATTTGGGGGGGTATAAAAGGTGTTCTCAGGATGAAGAGACTTGGGCCCACATGGTCAGATCCCTAAACAACTGCGGTCCCCTGTGGGACCCATCTGAAGCCTTCCGAGGAACTTGGCCGACATCCGGCGTTTCGGGGGTGTAGGGGTAGGAGTTTAAGGTTGAAGGCTTTCAGGTTTCAGGGGTTTGGGCATTTTGGGCTTTAGAGGGCTCGGAAACATTCGGGACCTAGGGGTTCAGGGCTTCAGGTGTTTGGGAACTCGGGGGACTCGGGTTAAAGGAGGGTTTTAGGAGGACTTGAGAACCAACTTAAACCCTACAGCCTAACCCCTAAGCCTTAAGCCCCAAACTCCAAACCCCAAACCCCAAACCCCAAACCCCAAACCCCAAACCCCAAACCCCAAACCCCAAACCCCAAACCCCAAACCCCAAACCCCAAACCCCAACCCCAAACCCCCAACCCCAAACCCCAAACCCCAAACCCCAAACCCCAAACCCCAAACCCCAAACCCCAAACCCCAAACCCTAAACCCTAAACCCTAAACCCTAAACCCTAAACCCTAAACCCTAAACCCCAACCCCAACCCCAAACCCCAACCCCAAACCCCAAACCCCAAACCCCAAACCCCCCCACCCCAACCCCCCAAACCCCAAACCCCAAACCCCAAACCCCATACCCCAAACCCCAAACCCCAAACAAACCCCAAACCCCAAACCCCAAACCCCAAACCCCAAACCCCAAACCCCAAACCCTAAACCCTAAACCCAAACCCCAAACCTTAAACCTTAAACCCTAAACCCTAAACCCTAAACCCAAAACCCGAACCCCGAAGCCTTAAGCCCCAAACGAACCCCAAACGGACCAGGACCGAGAATGGCTGGAAGGACACCTTGGTGCTCAACACCGTGTGCAAGCCTAGCGGCATCAACATGCGCAGCCTGCCTTTTTTTTTGGGGTTTAGGGTTTAGGGTTTGGGGTTTCGGGGGTTTCGGGTTTAGGGTTTAGGGTTTAGGGTTTAGGGTTTAGGATTTAGGGTTTGGGTCTTAGGGTTTAGGGTTTGGGGTTTAGGGTTTACAGGGGTTTAGGGTTTGGGGTTTAGGGTTTAGGGTTTCGGGGTTAGGGCTTCGGGTTTAGGGCTTTTCGGTGAGCATCTTCTGCCAATTCTGGGAATTTCCGGGGATCGGTCTGCCCAAACCCTTGAAAACCCAAAAGCCTTTGGAGCCTAAGACGCAACAGCTGAAAGCCGAAGAGAACCCCCAGCAAGCTGAACCAGGAAAGCCCTGAACCACTCAAACCGCGAAACCCTGAACCTTGAACCTTAAACCCTGAACCCGAAACCCCAAACCCCAAACCCCAAATCCCAAACCCTAAACCCTAAACCCTAAACCCTAAACCCTAAACCCTAAACCCTAAACCCTAAACCCTAAACCCTGAACCCTGCACCCAAACCCGCAATCCCCAAGGCATCTCCATGCCAGATATGGGCGAGAGTCGGTTCTTGGAGGGGCAGATCCAGGCTACCGCTTCGTTTCGGCCCTAGCCCGAAACCCTAAACCCCAAACCCTAAGCCCTAAACCCTAAGCCCTAAGCCCTAAGCCCTAAGCCCTAAACCTCAACCGTAAACCCTCAACCCTAAACCTTGTATTGGTTGGTGGTCTCTTGATATAAGTAGGGTTTCTGTTTTGTAGGGGGGGGGTTCTTGTTAGGATATCTAGGGGCTATATGAAGGTATAGGGGTTACAGATAAAGAGGCCACCGGCCTGTATTAGGATTTTGGGTTTAGGGCCTTTAGGGTTTAGGGAACCAATTTCTATTTGGTTAGCAAGTACCATGAAACTCCAAGTAACTTCTTGCCTCGCAATGGAAAAGCGCAGATGACCATGTTTCACATTTTCCTTGCTTTGGGGCGGGTTTATGGGAATACGGGCTTGTGGGGGCGAATAGGGTTTAATGAGTATGGGGCTTTAGAGGGTTTATAGGGGTCTCTGGGATGTGGGAGGATCTTGTCCCGCAATCTTTGGCAGAGGGAGTAATTGGGCAGAGCGAACCCATCTAACCTGGCACTGTGCAGTTTGCTGCTTTTGGAGGTCGGCAATGGCGAGGAGCAGAAGAAGTTCGTCAGGCACTCGTGTATGGGGAAAAGGGCGCCCGAACGGAGCCCTAAACTGTGAACCCTCAACCTCACACCCTGAACCGCAAGCCCTAAACCTTAAACTCCTAAACCCTGAACCCTGCACTCAACCCCCTCAGAGTGTACTTCAGGGCGGAGGGGGTTTTCAGGGCTTGCGAAGCGCTGAAGAAGAGGCCTTGTGAACAGGCCCTGAACCTCAGACTTCTACAATCCCAAGCCCCGTAACCACGTCCTAAACTACCATTTTCTTAGGAGCCCCTTAGCTCTAATTCTTAGGAGCCCCTAAGCTCTAAACCTAAAACCTTCCGCCCTCGGATGCCGAAAGGAAGCAGAAGAACCCTAAGCCTTTAGCCCTAAGCCCTAAGCCCTACGCCCTGAGCCCAGAGCCCTAAGCCCTAAGCCCTAAGCCCTAAGCCCTAAGCCCTAAGCCCTAAGCCCTAAACCCTAAACCCCAAACCCCCCAAACCCCCCAAACCCCCCAACAAACTCCTGGGGAGGAAGCAGAACTGGACCGCTTTGGGGGGCAGCGGCCCGGCGGCGAACTTCATCTCGCAGCTGGAGTCGAAGCGCTTTGGGCCGGAAGGGGTGGTTTGGGGTTTGGGGGTTTAGGGTTTCGGGGTTTAGGGTTTAGGGGTTTAGGGTTTAGGGTGTAGGGTTTAGGGGGTTAGGGGTTCAGGGGTTTAGGGGTGCAGGGGTGTAGGGGTTTTAGGGTTTGAAGGGGAGTCAGGGTTTCAGGGGTTGCATGAGAATGAGCTGTTTTTTTGGGGTCAGGGGCTTAGGGGTGTGTTTGTCTGTAGTTTTATTTGGGTGGAGGCTTTCCAAGAATGCTCTACTTCACAAGTCAGGGCCATGCTTCGTTCATTTATAATTTCTGTCTCTTGTCCCCCAAGATGTACATGCCTGAACTTCGAATCGCTTCGGGTTGCGGGTGTGTGCTGGCAAAGCCGAAGCAGTTTGAGCATGGGTGACGACGCTTGGTCACGGCTCCAGGGTAACACGCGCCTGTAGCTCGCATCGCACCTCGGCCTCTTCTGCCAGTCGTCATGGGGTCCGGCAGCGACACCGTGGATAAGGACAGCGTCTTCGCCAACTACAAGTCGGTCTTCTCCCGCCAGTTTGCCGTCTCCTTGGCTGTGGAGTTTGTGGGCGTGATGTTCTTCCAGATCCTTGGTGGCACGTCAGCTCCGAAGTTTGCACCCTTCGTGAACGGCTTCGCGCTGGCCGTGTGGATCTATGTCGCTGCCAACATCAGCGGCGGTCACCTGAACCCTGCTGTGAGCTTCAGCACTGCAGTCTGCGGCTTCTATCCCCTCATCCACACGCTGGTCTACATCACCCTCCAGATCATTGGCGCCATCGTCGGGGCCTGGGTCTCGGCTGGACTGGTGCCCGGCGCTGGTGACCTCATCCACACTGGAGCCACCGGCCCCGGATGCTTCGACCGTACCACGATCCACAAGGACCTGACCGACGAGCAAGTCTTCGGCTGGGAGTGCGTCATGACCTTCACCCTGATTTCTTGCGTCTATGCCTGCGGTGTGGCAAAGCCAGGGCACGGCAGCCACACGCCTTTCGCCGTGGGCCTGGCGCTGCTCGCATGCGCGGGGTCTGGCGGTCAGTACACGGGCGCCGCCTTGAACCCCGCCCGTGTTCTGGGCCCGATGGTCATCTTCCACTGTGGCGACGACGTGGCCGGCCTCTACATTGGAGGGCAGTTTGTGGCAGCGATGCTGGCGATGTCCGTCTTCGCATTCGTCTCGGGCCTTGGTCCCCTTAACCCGTGGGTAGCCAAGCGCGCTTTGAGCCTCTCCTGGCCGGAAGCCGTCTACCTCTGGATCACCGGCTCGCCTCCCAGCCGTCTTCAGAAGACAGGGCGCGAGAACATCAACGACTTCAAGCAGCAGTACGCCGAGTTCTATGCCAGCGAGGGATCCGACATGCCAAAGTCCAAGATCTTCGACGTGGAGCGCTGGTTTGGCATCCACAAGACTGTGGCAGATGACACCCACGCGTGAAATTCTGAAAGCAGGGCCCTAAAAGTTACCCAACTTGCCGGAGTGCTTGAACGCCCGGCGATTCCCAGGCGGGGCTCTCCGCCTCCAAAATTCTCTTTTTCCTACGACCCACAAGCGGTGGAAAGTTTTGGGGAATGTTTGAGAATGAATTGAAGTGCCCCGAATTTACATCAAAAGCTAGATCCAGGCAAAAGCGCCCTGGTCCAAGTGCACGAGACCATCCCAAGCTCTTCATGGGGCTCTTGCGGTAAATGGTGCTCTTTGCAAGCTTCTCGGTGGCTTCGCACAGAGGATGGTCGAAGCCATAAGCCCTCAACCCCAGTATTTCAGTGTCGGTTTTGCAAGGATCAGGACTAGACCCCCGAAACCCGAAAGCCCCAAACCCACAAATTCCTAGGACCCCCCGTCTGGAGTGCTAGACAGCAACAGCAAGAACAAAAGGAAAACTCATCGTGATAATCATACTGGTAGTCTTGTGAATATTCGTCAAAACCCCAAGCCCTGCACCCTAAACCCTAAACCCTAGACCTCAAACCCTGTTGAAGCCTAGGCCAATCTTCTCTCAGCTGAGTGCCTGCGGCCAGGCCGTGTGTGGGGAATGGGGCGGGGGGAGGAGGTCGGTTCGGGGTTGAGGGTTTAGGGTTGGGATGTTACCAAACCTCATTGCCCAGCAACAGCGAGTTGGCTGCCCCAAGCCTCACTCCCTGTAACTGTCAACCTTCAACCCTCTACCCTCCCTAAACCCTTAACCCTAAGCCCTGTACTCTAAGCCCTCAACCCTCTACCCTCCCTAAACCCTACACCCTAAACCCTAAACCCTAAACCCTAAGGCCCTAAACCCTAAACCCCAAACCCTAGATTCCGGGCAGGCGGAGAGGGCCAAGGCCGAACAGACCTGCATCAAGCACCTGGGCACAGAGATGCGCAACTTGGGCCTGCAATTCCCATTGGGGCGTGGACTTTATTTCAGCATTTCTGTGCGGGTTTAGGTTTTTTTTAGGGTTTAAGAGTGTAAGGGTGTAGGGTTTAGGGTTTAGGGCTTATTCTTATTTTTAGTCAAGATTTGTTCGTTGCAATTGTTGAGGGGTTTTGTGGGGTTTCTGGGGTTTCTTCATAAAGATTCTATTGAATAGGGGTTGATTGTGAGGCTTCTGTAGACAGAGCACATCGTGCAGGCGTTGATTGTCAGGCTTCTGTATACAAGATCATATAGAGGGTTTAGGGTTTAGGGTTTAGAGTTTAGGGTTTAGGGTTTAGGGTTTAGGGAGAAGGGGTTGATGGGGTTTGTTTCGACAGTATTTGAAAGGTTTCTGAAGCAAGGGGGCAGGCGCGACATATGTATTTTGGGATGTTCCCCTTTCTACTGACAGTCCATAGTAGGGATTATAGTGCCAGTGTAAGGGGGAACATCCCAATACATATTCAACAGAGGAGGGCGGGACGCCGTGACACAACACCCGTCGCGACGCAAAGTCATAGAAAGCTTCATGAGGTTTAGGGTTTTGTGGTGCAAGGCAAAGAGACCCCCCTTACTCAACTCAAGACACCCCGACTAGGGAGGATACTTTGAACCGCATTGAAGTCCCTATTATTTCTAAAAAATTACTAGTTAAACACCAGCCTCAACTTTAACTCCTGCACCCGAAGCCCTGAACCCTGAACCTGGCTAAAGAGTTCTGAGGCCGTAGGGTTCAGCACAGTGATGCGGGTGGCGCTGGAGCTTGGGGCTTTCGAAAGTTTCGGGTTACAGGATTTAGGGTTGAGATCTTAGGGCTCAGGGTTGTGGTTTCCCGGCTCAGGCTGAACATTGGGTCTTCGGATTGGCCTTGGGATTGGCGGGTGCCCTGAACCCTAGGCCCTTAAGCCAGAGCCCAAGATTCTTGCAGCTGTGGCCCTGTGCCCGAACTCCGTGTCACTTCATCTGAACCCTAAGCCCTAAACCCTAAACCCTCAACCCCAAACCCTAAACCCTAAGCCTCAAACCCTAAACCCTAAACCCTACACCCTAAACCCCAAACCCTAAACCCTAAACCCCAAACCCCAAACCCTAAACCCTAAACCCTAAACCCCAAACCCCAAACCCCAAACCCTAAACCCAAACCCCAAGCCCTAAACCCTAAACCCTACCAGGCTCCAGGTCTTCCTGAGCCCCAACCCTTAGGCACGGCGACTGGCGACGACGCCAGCATCTTCCGGGATTGCGTCTCCGACGTCTGCCGCGGGGGCGCACCTCGGTTTGGGGGTTAGGGTTTAGGGTTTAGGGTTTAGGGTTTAGGGTTTAGGGTTTAGGGTTTACGGTTTAGGGTTTAGGGTTTTAGGGTTTAGGGTTTTGGGGTTTTGGGGTTTAGGGTTCGGTGGCTGTGTTCAGGGATCCCTAGGGGTAGGGTTTGAAATTTGGGGTTTGGGGTTTAGGGTTTAGGGTTTAGGGTTTCGGGTCTAGGGTTTAGGGCTTTCGGGTTTCGGGTTTAGGGTTGAGGGTTTAGGGCTTTCGGGTTTCGGGTTTAGGGTTTTGGGTTTAGGGTTTAGGTGAACTGCAGTCACGGGTAGTTGAAATGGTCTAAACCCTGAACCCTGAACCCTGAACCCTAAACCCTAAACCCTAAACCCTAAACCCTAAACCTGAACCCTAAACCCTAAACCCTACATCTTTTTCGGTTTTACGGGCCAACCCTGGGTTTGTAAACGTCAGACAGCCACCTCCCGGCCCTTGCCCCTGCTCCACTGTTCTTTTGAGCCCCCCTCAACCCTCAACCCTCAACCCGCAACCCTCAACCCTCAACCCTCAACCCCAAAACCCTAAACCCTAAACCCTCAACCCTCAACCCTAAACCCTAAACCCTAAACCCTAAACCCTAAACCCGAAACCCCGAACCCCTCAGCCCGTTGAGCCCCCCAAAAAAGTTACGTGATAAGAAGGCGCCGCCCATGAAGCCACTGAGCCTCTTTGAGTCCATGCCAGGGTTTAGGGAGTCCAGGGTTTCGGGTTTAGGGTTTAGGGTTTAGGGTTTAGGCTTTAGGGTTTTAACCCTAAACCCTAAACCCTCACATAGCTGTTCTCCTTGAAATGGCTTCGTTCCGTTCGTTTTGGGGGTGCCCGCTGAAGGAGGGCACGATCACGCCTCCTCAGTCGCGTCATCCACGGCCCCTCCCTGGACCCCGCTGAACCCCCAGGCTTCTGATGTTCAGGGTATCGGTGTTAAGCTTTCGGGGTCCAGGGTTGAACCCTAAAACCCTAAAACCCTAAAACCCTAAAACCCTAAAACCCTAAAACCCTAAAACCCTAAAACCCTAAAACCCTAAAACCCTAAAACCCTAAAACCCTAAAACCCTAAAACCCTAAAACCCTAAAACCCTAAAACCCTAAAACCCTACAACCCTAAAACCCTAAAACCTAAAATCCTCAAACCCTAAAACCCTAAATCCCAAATCCTACACTGTAAACCTAGCCCTGAACCCTAAACCCTAAACCCTAAACCCTAAACCCTAAACCCTAAAACTTTCCCATCGAAGGAGGAGTTTGCCGTGGCCGCCAAGGAGCTTCTTGCAGCGTTCACTGACTAGGCTCCCGGTCTGGCCTTTTGCTAGGGTTTAGGGTTTAGGGCCCTTAATTTATGTAGGGCCTATAAGGGGTCCCTGTTCAAGGGCCCCATACTAAGGGACCATGCAATACCCTAAGACGACAAAAGGCCAAAAGGGATGGGGATTTTGGGGTTTGTATGCTCCCCCTTATGTACTAACAATCCTTGATAGGGATTTGAACAAGGGGTACTATAATCCCTATGAAGGACTGTTAGTATAAGGGGGAACATCCCAATTTGCAGGGCTCATAGGGTCTATCGGGTTTATAGGGTGTATGGGGCTTGTAGGGTTCGTCAGGCCCGGGATATCCTAAACCATGCGTCCTAAACCCTAAACTTTAGGGTTTAGGGTTTAGGGTTTAGGGTTTAGGGTTTAGGGTTTCGGGTCTGGGGAATGAGGGAGTGGGGCGCCCTATATCTCCCTGTATAAACCCCTTAAGGGATTATGTAGGGTACCTGATTCCCTCATTCCCTACTAAGAACCAGCCAGTTTGAGAAGCTCGCAGGTTTCGGGCTGAGGGTTGAGGACCCTAGATCCTAACCCTAAACCCTAAACCCTAAACCCTAAACCCTAAACCCTAAACCCTAAACCCTAAAGCCTAAACCCTAAACCCTAAACCCGAAAGCCTAAACCCTAAAGCCTAAACCCTGAACCCGCTCTTTGGGGGGCTTCTGCGCAGTCCCGCTCCAGCTGAAGCTCGGGGTTGGGGAAGCTGCTGTCCTGAATGAAACTGAAGCTGTGCCTTAAGCCTAGGCCCTAAGCCCTAAGCCCTAAGCCCTCAGCCCTAATCCCTAATCCCTAAGCCCTTAAGCCCTAAGCCCTAAGCCCTAAGCCCTCAGCCCTAAGCCCTAAGCCCTAAGCCCTAAACCCTAAACCCTAAACCCTAAGCCCTAAGCCCTAAACCTTAATCCATCTGTGGTGGAGGCATCCGGACTGTGGGCCTTCTTTCGATGGTTGAGGTCACAGTTCCGGCAGCTTACCTACTTTGGCCGCATGTCCGTAGGAATGCGACCAAGAAAGCTTCAATTCCCTGTAGCCTCTGGCAATGAGAGGCCAGTATTTCGAGGCTGCCGGTGGCTGCGTGCAGCCACGGCTGTACAGCCAGATTTTAAATCCCCGCAAGCGCAGTCGGGCACAAACTGCGCAGTGTTTTGCTCTGTAGTTATAGTTGTAGCCGGTTTCCACGCTGCGTTCCGAAGGAACGCTCGTGCCTCAGCCTGCTGGACGTGGCGCTATGTCTGCACCAGGCTGGCAAATCAACAAAGAAGCACCCCTAAACCCTAGACTAAACCCTCAACCCGAAACCCTAAACCCTAAGCCCCAAACCCCAAACCCCAAACCCTGAACCCTAAACCCTAAACCCTAAACCCTAAACCCTAAACCCTAAACCCCAGACCCAACTCCCAAAGACTAAACCCTAAACCCCAAGGCTAGGCGTTAGGGATCAGAAGGAGTTGAGGGTTTAGGATGGTTTAGGATGCCTGAGAGCATTGGACGTGTTCAGGTCACGGGGAACACTGAGCCAGGTTTTCGAGTCTAGGGGTTCATCCCCAAATGGGGGCTTTACGACAATAAGGGACCCCTTTAAAGTTGACCCCCCTAACCTCCAATCCATTGCTGGGCTTCTTGCAGAGAGGTCTCTGCGCCGCCTCGGCCCGAGCTTGCGGCACAAAGCGACCTGCGAGCAGGAAAACGCTACCGAACCGGATGCCATGTGGAAGACAATCCTGCAAGTCCTAGCACTTCTGGCCTGTGCCCTGGGGGAGGAAGATGGCTCCTGCATCCTCCAGAAGAGGAAGCACGTGAATTCGCATGCGCAGCTGGACCTCAAAACCGAGAACTTCTGCGGCGGAGAGCCCCTAGGATGCCCAGTAGTGCCCTTATTCCCTTTTTTTTTGGGGGGGTTCGGTTCCCTTATGAACCCCCGTTTAAGCAAAAAAGGGGTACCCTTTCTGAATCCTGGGTTACTGAGCATCCTAGGCCGAATGAGCTCACCTTCGATAGCTTCAGCCACGGCGACGAGATCATGCCGGACTCGATCCCCGGCGTCACCATCGTCGCCACCCGCCGCGCCACGGCGCCGCAGCCGGGGCACGCCAAGAACTGCTCCGGGCCTTTGTTGATCTTGGACACCCGCCATCCCGACTTCCGCAGCTTCGACAAGGACTTGCAGAAATGTGAGAATTGCACCCTCATGCTTTGGTCCAAGGACGGCAACCGGAAGAAGGTCAACGACTGCGGCGAGCATCCGGGCGTAGCCATCAGCTTCAAGTATGAGGAGTTGCAGAACTTGCTGGACATTGAGCTCTGGGACATGGAGGAGCCCACTCACATCGAGATGTACGGTGCCGACGGTGAGCTGCTCAAGAACGTCTCCGCTCCGGACGGTCCCGAGCAGGACGGCAACGCAGCAGTCGTCGGGCTGTTTACCGAGGGTGTGAAGGAGATGATCGTGTACATGGGCGGCTCTGGAGCGGTCCGCAAGATCCGGGCGTGCAAGCCAGAAGAGCCCTTTTGCCCAGGGCCGCCCGGCGAGCTCACCTTCAACAGCTTCAGCCACGGCGACGAGATCGAGCCGGACTCCATCAAGGGCGTGACCATCGTCGCCACCCGCCGTGCCACGGCACCGCAGCCGGGCCACCCCAAGAACTGCTCCGGGCCCTTGTTGATCTTGGACACCCGCCATCCCGACTTCCGCAGCTTCGACAAGGACCTCAAGAATTGCACGAATTGCACCCTCATGCTTTGGTCCAAGGACGGCAATCGGAAGAAGGTCAACGACTGCGGTGAGCATCCGGGCGTAGCTATCAGCTTTAAGTTCAAGAAGTTGCAGAGTCTAGTGGACATTGAGCTCTGGGACATGGAGGAGCCGAGCTACGTCGAGATGTACGGTCCTGACGACACGCTGCTCAAGAACGTCTCCGCCCCGGACGGTCCCGAACAGGACGGCAACCCGGCGGTGGTCGAACTCCTGACCGAGGGTGTGAAGGAGATGATCGTGTACATGGGCGGCTCTGGAGCAGTGCGCAGGATAAGGGCCTGTAAGGCTCCGGGCAGTGTTGTTGGCGACCCGCACATCTACACCCTGGATGGCGACAAGTTCGACTTCTATCAGAAGCTAGGCTGCTAGAACATGTTTCTGAACCGGACAGTTGGTTAACTGCGGGTTCCTTCGGAAAGCTGATGTTTGGTTCACATATGTTCCCATGAAGCCCAAGGGAACGACCAAACAGGATGCTCGGAGAGTAGAGGGGCATGTGGCTGTTTGAGCGAACTCATCAATCCCGTGAGCCCAAAGCGTGAAGCTCTTAGCACCCCCCCAACCCACAAGCCGTTAAGAGCTTCTGGTTGTGGGCTCAGAGTTCAGAGTTTAGGGCTCCGAAACTTAAGGCCACCAACCCTCAGGGGCTCATAGGTTTGGGTTCACGGAATTTAGGACTCCGAAGCTTCAGGCCCTGAATGAAGAAGCACCATTGAGCCAAGGAATGGGACTTATTCCCCCCAAACCCTAAACCCTTAGCCCTAAGCCCTAAGCCCTAAACCCTAAACCCTAAACCCTAAACCCCAAACCCTAAACCCTAAACCCTAAACCCTACCTGAAGAAGCACCAATGAGCCAAGGAATGGGACTTTTTCGGTGTTCCACTACACTGGCCAGAAGCTGCCGCACCCCACGAACGAGAACGCTACCGTGGATTGGCAACCCGGCCTTCGAGCTTGGGAAGTACTTCAGGGACTGAAGAAGGGACCCTTTACCAGTACCAGGGACCTTAGGGGGTTATTTGGGGGAGGTTTAGGGTTTAGGGTTTAGGGTTTAGGGTTTAGGGTTTAGGGTTAGGGGAGCATTTGGGGGCTGCTTAGTTATATGGGGACTACACAAGGCATACATCAGGGCTATATAGGGGAATAAGATAAAGGGTCCCTTGGAGAGGTTGTACCCCTTAAGCTTGGGAAGACCCCTAAACGTTTAGGGGTTTCGGGGTTTGGGGTTTCGGGGTTTCGGGGTTTCGGGGTTTAGGGGTTTAGGGGTTTAGGGGTTTAGGGTTTACGGGAGTAGGCGTTTAGGGTTACGGGTTTAGGGTTTAGGTCTAGGGGTTTAGGGGTCTAGGGGTTCAGGGTTTAGGCTAACACCTCAACCCTCGACCGAGGCAGCTCTACTCCCACTACGGTGGGCCGTTCTGGACCGCACAGGGCCGCCAGGCTAAATGCTTCTGGTCAGATAGTTCGTGGTTTAGGGTTTAGGGTTTAGGAGGGTCAGATAGTTGGCTAAACCTTTTGAACCGCCCCGAAAACCCTTAAACAATTCCCTAAGCCCTGTTCTCACGCCCCCTGGAGTTTCACAGCATTGCCAACGCAGACCCTAGTAGCCCTAAAGCCCTAAAGCCCTAAAGCCCTAAAGCCCTAAAGCCCTAAAGCCTAAACCCTAAACCCTAAACCCTAAACCCTAAACCCTAAACCCTGCGCCCTACGTCCCACTTCAAGAAGCACCCCCCCCCCCCCCCAAAAAAAAAAAAAAAAAACAAAAACCCAAAGGCGTGCTCCTCGTGGACCGCTCCATGGGCTCCATGAGACAAGCCCTAGAGCTGACCTCCAAGGTGGAGCTGGGTAGGTTGAGGGGTTTAGGGTTTGGGGTTTAGGGTTTGGGTTTTGGGGTTTAGGGGTTTAGGGTTTGGGGGTTTAGGGTTTGGGTTTAAGGGTTTAGGGTTTGGGGTTTGGGGTTTAGGGCTTTAGGGCTTGGGGTTTAGGGGTTTAGGGTTTAGGGGTTCAGGGTTCAGGGTTTGGGGTTTGGGGTTTAGGGTTTGGGGTTTGGGGGTTTAGGGTTTAGGGGTTTAGGGTTCAGGGTTTGGGGTATAGGGTAAGGTTTAGGGTTTGGGGTTTGGTGTTTAGGATTTGAGGGTTTAGGGGTGCGGGGTAAGGGCTGAGAGGGGGGGAGTGAAGGTCTGGGGCATGAGCGTTTGGGCGGTTGTGTTGCTTGCAGTGTAGTGACTGTCCGGTGTTTTGTTGGAGGGCTGTATTGTGTTCTTCCTGGGCCTGTTGCTTCCCAAACCCAAATCCCAAAGACTTTGGTTTGGCTTTGAGTGGTTTTTGGGCACGCAGCTTTGGTGAGGGTCTAATTGTCAAGGTTGGGCAGAAAACCGGAGCCCTATAGGGTTTAGGGTTTAAGGTTTCGGGTTTGGGATTTGTTAGGGCTTAGTGAAACCCTAAACCCTAAACCCGAAACCCTAAACCCTAAACCCTAAACCCTAAACCCTAAACCCTAAACCCTAAACCCTAAACCCTAAACCCTAACCCTAAACCCTAAACCCTAAACCCTAAACCCTAACCCTAAACCCTAAACCCTAAACCCTAAACCCTAAACCCTAAACCCTAAACCCTAACCCTAAACCCTAAACCCTAAAAAACCCTAAACCCTAAACCCTAAACCCTAAACCCTAAACCCTAACCCTAAACCCTAAACCCTAAACCCTAAACCCTAAACCCTAAACCCTAAACCCTAAACCCTAAACCCTAAACCCTAAACCCTAAACCCTAAACCCTAAACCCTAAACCCTAAACCCTAAACCCTAAACCCTAAACCCTAAACCCTAAACCCTAAACCCTAAACCCTAAACCCTAAACCCTAAACCCTAAACCCTAAACCCTAAACCCTAAACCCTACGCCAGAGCTCTCCAAACGCGGCATGTCCAGGACTGCCAGTGGTACAAGAGAACTGGCAAGAGCTGGTTCCCGGTCAAGCGCAGGAGCGTCCCGTTTTTCGAGTTCAGGGTTTGGGGTTTGGGGTTTAGGGTTTAGGGTTTAGGGTTTAGGGTTTAGGGTTTAGCCCCTAAACCCAAACCCCAAACCCTACCCTCCTAAATCCCAAACCCCGGCTTGGGGCTTAGGGTTTGGGATTTGGGGCTTTGGGGCCTTTGCACATGTCTGGGTGGGTTGAAGGCCGCAGGTTGCACCCTCAAAAACCTCAGCAAGCCCTGAGACCTGAATAGCCCTAAACCCTAAACCCTAAACCCTAAACCCTCAACCCTAAACCCTAAACCCTAAACCCTAAACCCTAAATCCTAAACCCTAAACCCTAAACCCTAAACCCTGAACCCTAAACCCCGAACCACACCCCAGGTGTCGCCCCTGGTGCCTAGGAGCCTCCTCACCTTCACGGACAGCGAGAGCCACAAGGCCCTGACCATGTTCCTGGGCCAAAAATTTTGGGGGAGAGCCCGGAACCCCAACCCCTAAACCCTAAACCCTAAACCCGAAGCCCTAAACCCTAAACCCTAAACCCTAAACCCTAAACCCTAAACCCTAAACCCTAAACCCTAAGCCCTAAGCCCTCAGGTTTAGGGTTTCGGTCCTGGGGTTTAGGGGTTCCTGAAAAAAGGGGGGGGGGGCTTAGGGTTTAGGGGTTGCTGGTCTAGGGTTTCGGGTTTAAGGCTTGGGGTGTTGGTTAGGGATTTTGGGTTTCGGCATTGCGCGGTTTAGGCCGTTTAGCTTGCGCTTGTATGACAGAGTTCTTCATAAGAGACCTAACCCTAAACCCTAAACCCTACGCCCTGCACCCTAAACCCTAAACCCTGAACCCTTCATAACTTAGGGTTTGTCGCTAAGGTTCGAGCACGTGCATGAGAAGAAGATCGTGCTGAAGATGAGGAGACGAATCCCTGTAAGCCGGTTTGGGTTTAGGGTTTATGGCTTGGGGCAAAGCCCTACACCCTAAACCCTTCAAAGCCCTAATCCCTAGGCCGCAGTCTTCCTGCTTCCCGAGTGGTAGCTGTGCAGGACCCGAAGCCCCGGTGAGAATCCAAACCCGGAACCGCGAAATCCTTAAGATTTCTGTGAAAGCCTAAAGGTTAAGTCCACACACAGTACTTACTCCCTTGTTCCGCCCCTCCCCCCTTACATCCCCCCACTCTACAAAAGAAGAACAGACGCCCAAATAGGGTTTAGGGTTTAGGGTTTAGGGTAACCCTAGAGCCCTCAACCCGAACACAGGACCGAGACAGGCTGGAAGGATACCTTGGTGCTGAACACGGTGTGCAAGCCTAGCGGCATCAACATGCGCTGCTTGCCTCTAAGGTTTAGGGTTTAGGGTTTAGGGTTAGGGTTTAGGGTTTAGGGTTTAGGGTTTAGGGTTTAGGGTTTAGGGTTTCGGGTTTAGGGTTTAGGGTTTAGGGCTTGAAACCCACGAACCCTACACCTCGGACTTTTCGTCTAGGCTTCACATCCCGAATCTCAGTTGCGATGTCGGCGACCCAGGCATCTCCATGCCCGACATGGGCGAGAGCCGTTTCCTGGAGGGCCAAATCGAGGCAGGTCTTAGGGTTCAAGGGGGGGGAGAACGCAGGGCCTCCTAAACCCTAAACCCTAAACCCTAAGCCCAAGCCCTAAATCCTAAACCCTAACCCTAAACCCTAAGCTCTAAACCTAAACCCTAAAGCCAAAACCCTACACCCTAAACCCTACACCCTACACCCTAAACCCTACCCTAAACCCCAATCCCTCAACCCGAGCGACGCGGGTTTAAGGCTACCTCATGTTGGATGTTTTCAGAGCGGCTTCTGAGGGCCAACTGGCACCGAGAACAGCGAAAGCCCTAGGCCTTAGCGGCACTGGCAATCTTGAACCCTAGACCCTAAACCCTAAACCCTAAGCCCTAAACCTTAAACCCTAAACCCTAAACCCTAAACCCTAAACCCTAAACCCTAAGCCCTAAACCCTAAACCCTACCCTTAAACCCTAAATAACCCTATACCATAACCTTAAACCCTCAACCCAAGGAGGTCCTGAACCTGTAACCTTCACATCATTGGCCGTCCAAGCCAACCCCAACGCGCAAGGTGGGCAACGGCGAGGAGCAGAAGAAGTTCATGAGGAGTCCATGTGCGTGTGGATTTAGGGTTTAGGATTTAGGCACCTTAAGCCTAGGGTTTAGGGTTTAGGGTTTAGGGTTTAGGGTTTAGGGTTTAGGGTTTAGGGTTTAGGGCTTAGGGCTTAGGGTTTAGGCACCTTCAGCCCCCAAACCCCACTACCGGGCCTCTGAATGGGGGAAGCAGAACAGCCCTAAACCCTAAACCCTAAACCCTAAACCCTAAACCCTAAACCCTAAACCCTAAACCCTAAACCCTAAACCCTAAACCCTAAACCCTAAACCCTAAACCCTAAACCCTAAACCCTAGGCCCAGAACCCCCTGAACCCCCGAACTCCTGGGAGGAAGCAGAACTGGACCGCTTTGGGGGGCAGCGGCCCTGCGGCGAACTTCATCCAGCAGCTGGATTCCAAGCGCCCTGGCTTGCAGGGGTGGTGGTTTAGGGTTTAGGGTTTTAGGGTTTAGGGTTTAGGGTTTAGGGTTTTAGGGTTTTAGGGTTTAGGGTTTAGGGTTTAGGGTTTAGGGTGGTCGGGGCGCAGGTCTTAAGGGGTTTCAGGGTCCAGGGGTGTTTAGGGGTTTTTAGGGTTGTTTAGTTTTTTTTTTTTTGTTGGGTTTTTTTGGGGGTTCTTTTGAGCTCCAGGGAATCATGGTGGCTCAGGGCTCATTAGGTTGTTTCTTGAAAAACAAACCTTCTTTCTTGCCCAAGCCCGATGCCTGCTTAGCCCCCAAAGCTCTCTAGAACCCTGCACCCTAAACCCTAAACCCTAAACCCTAAACCCAAAACACTAAACCCCAAACCCAGACCCTAGGGGGTTTAGACCCTAGACCCTAAACCCTAAATCCTAAACCCTACACCCTACACCCTAAACCCTACACCCTAAGCCCTAAACCATAATGCATTTCGGGCTTGAAGTCCCTAAACCTTAAACCCAAAACCCTAAACCCTAAACCCCAAACCCTAAACCCTAAACCCTAAACCCTAAACCTTAAACCCTAAACCCTAGACCCTAGACCCTAAACCCTAAACCCTAAGCCCTAAACCCTAGACCCCCTGATAAGCCTTAGAACCCTTGTCTTTCGGGACACATCAGCTCCAAGCCCAGGAGTCCACTCCTTCCTTTCTTAGGTTAGTGAGGGTTTACGGGTTTACGGGTTTAGGGTTTAGGGTTTTGGGTTTAGAAAACCCCTAAACCCCTTTTTGGGTCACGGTAGCCCAGGAGAGGCTTGTCCCTGCTAGCTGCTTGCGGCCAGGCGCGTTCGGCGCCCTGTTTTCGTACGCACTCTGCTTCGTTCAAATTTAGGGCCTAAGCCCGAAGCCCGAAGCCCTAAGACCTAAGGCCTCAGCCCGAAGCCCCAAGGTTAAGCCCGAAGGCCTAAGCCCTAACAAAGCCCTAAGCCCGAAGCCGGAAGCCGGAAGCCCCAAACCCTAAGCCCGAAGCCCGAAGCTTGGGACTCGCAGTCCTCAATGGGGATTATGACAAGGGAGTACTATTATGAAGGACGGCTAGTATAAGGGGAAGCATCCCGGCCTAAACCCGAAAAATCTGGACAAATTTTGGCTTCGGGCCTGGCTTCGAGGCTTAAGAATCTGGGGCTTCAGAATGGTTCGGGGACATGTTTTCAAGCCTTAAGCCCTGAGCCCTAAGCTCTAAAGCCTAAACCCTAAATCCTCAGGTGTAGGTGTTTGAAGAGTTGTTGGCTATGAAGGGCTCTAGGGTTCCGGTTTCTGAGATGTTGGGTGTTCGGGGGATCTTGGGGGTGTTTTCTGAGGTTTAGGGTTCAGGGTTTAGGATTTAGGGTTTCGGATTAGGGTTCGTGAGGTTGAGGTTTAGGGTTTAGGGTTTAGGGTTTAGGGTTTAGGATTTAGGGTTTAGGGTTTCTGAGGTTTCGGGTTGTTAAGGGGTCTTCGATGGCACAGGCGGAGAGAGCCAAAGCCAAGCAGCTCTGTGCAAAACATCTGGGAGACGAGCTGCGCACCTCACCTGTGTCAACCAAGCCCTAAACCCTGAAACCCTACACCCTACACCCTAAACCCTAAACCCTAAACCGATTGTCGGGAGCAGGCGTTTGGGGTTTAGGACGGTCGTGCGAAGTTGTAGAATCAGGGTTTTAGAATTTAGGGTTTAGGGTTTATGGTTCCGTAAGCCCGGAACCCAAAGACCCCCCAAAAACACCCAGCAGCTTTGGCCGACGACCTCGTAATTAGCCCCAAGCAAGCTATTTGGGGTTTAGGGTTTGGGGTTTTAAGGTATCTGGGGTTTTAAAGTTTTAGTGTTTAGGGCTTTTCGGTTTTTAAGCGCTTTAGTGCTTCAGGGTTTTAAAGTTTTTAAGGTTTTAGGATTTCCACGCTCTAGGGTTTCAGGACTTGCGGTTTTAGTGTTGCAGGCTTTAGGCCTTTAGGGTTTTTGGGGTTTCAAGGTTTAAGGGTTTTTGAGGTTTTTAAAGTTCTGGTTTAGGGTTTTAGGACATTTAGGGTTTAGAGGGCTCTAAGGAGTTTATGAAGGGACTAAGGAGGGACCCCTATAAGGGACCCTAGGGTTTCTTTGGGGGTTATTCAGGGCCTACTTCGGCATATAGAAGGTATATAGAAGGGCTATATAGGGGAATAAACCCTAAACCCTAAACCCTAAACCCTAAACCCTAAACCCTAAACCCTAAACCCTAAACCCCAAACCCGAAACCCTAAACCCTAAACCCTAAACCCTAAACCCTAAACCCTAAACCCTAAACCCTAAACCCTAAACCCTAAACCCTAAACCCTAAACCCTCCCTTCCCCTCCTTCGATCCCTTGCGTTTAGGGTCAGCGAGTAGCCTTTATGGGACGCTCCTTAAACCCTAAACCCCCCAAGCCCTGAAAAAGCCCCTGGTTCTTAGTAGGGAATGAGGAAATGATGGCCCTAGAAAGTCCCTCAAAGGGTATATATAGGGCCCTCATTCCCTCATTCCCTACTCAGAACCAGCCAGAAAAGCCTAAACTCGAAGCCCTAAACCCTCAACCCTTTTTTTAGTCCTTAATAGGGAGTATAGTGCACCCGATTGTGCTTCTTGTTAAGGACTGTTATAAAACCCCAAAACCCCCAAGCCCCTTACGGGGAAGCCCAGGCAAAAGCCAAACCCACCCTCAACCCCGAACCCCTCAAGCCCAAACCCTAAAACCCTAAAACCCCTAAACCCCAAGCCCAAAACCCCAAACCCTTAACCTCATACCCTAAAACCCCCAAACCCAAAACCACCCCCATAGTGCTCAAGGAGCAGCACAGGGAGAGGCAAACCTTACACCCCAAACCCCAAACCCCAAACCCCAAACCCCAAACCCCAAACCCCAAACCCCAAACCTTACACCCCAAACCTTAAACCTTAAACCCTAAACCCCAACCTCTAACCCCTAAACCCTAAACCCTAAACCCTAAACCCCAATAGTGTCCAAGGAGCAGCACAGGGAGAGGCTGTGGACCTCCTGAACGACTGCGTGAACGACGTCTGCCGGGGCGGGGTGGCTGGACTCGACCTGGTCCCCTAGGTATAGGGTTTGAGGTCTTAGGGTTTGAGGTTTTAGGGTTTGAGGGTTTGAGGTTTTAGGATGTGAGGGTTTGCGGGTTTGAGGTTTTAGGGTGTGAGGGTTTGAGGTTTTAGGGTTTGAGGTTTCAGGGTTTGAGGGTCGAGGGTTTAGGCATGAGGGTTTAGGGGTTTAGGGGTATTGGGTTTGGGGTTTAGGGTTTAGGGGTTTATGGTTTTGGGGTTTAGGGTTTGGGGTTTGGGGGCTCATGGGTTTAGGGTTTAGGGTTTCGGGGTTTAGGGTTTAGGGATGAGGGTTTAGGGGTTTAGGGGTTTAGGGTTTAGGGTTTAGGGGTTTAGGGTTCAGGGGTTTAGGTTTAAGGTGTAGGGTCCGGGGGCCAAGGGTCCAGCGGGTTGGGGGGGGGGGGGGGTTTAGGGGTTTGGTGGTTGTTTTTTCGGGATTGCGGGTTTTGAGGTGTTTTTTTTTTTGGTTGTTTTCTGAAATGTGTTGTTGAGGAATTCTACTCTGTAGCTAGGGGTTGAAACCTGAAGTGCAGGAGGGGTCTTCAGGGTTTCAAGGTCCCAGGGTTCGCCTTTTCGGGCGTCGAGGTTCAGGGCCGCAGGGCTGTGCCGTCGGCATTTGGGTTGGGGGATTTCGGACAATCAAGGTTGAACGGCTTAGGAGTTTAGGTATCTTTTTATCTTTGTCTACCTCCTATACTAAACCCTGAAGCCCCCCTTTTTGGGATGTAGAGTTTAGAGTTTAGGGTTTGGGGCTTGGCTTCCTTTTGCCAAATCCTGGGGCGAGATGGGTTTCTGGGGTTTAGGGTTTAGGGTTTAGGGTTTGGAGTGTAGAGTTTAGGGTTCAGGGTAGAGGGTGGGGACGCTCAAGTTCCTGGTCCGCCTTGGGGTGGCCTAATGAACCATTTAACACCGCCCCAAAGCTTGCAGTGCTTAGGGTTTAGGGTTTATAGAGGGTTTACAGGGGCTACAGGGTTATATACGTTTTATCGGGTGATATAGGGTTATACAGGGTTATCTTGGGTTGTATAGGGATATCTAGGGCTTCTAGGATTCTAGGGTGGTTTACAAGGTTTTATGGGGGGTATATATGCGGGTTATATAGGGTTATACAGGGTCACGCAGGGCTACGTAGGGCTTCTTGGGCTAGTGTTCTCAGGCCATGGGGCCCTTTGGGCCCTGGGGGGGGGGGGTTCACATTTGGAGTCGGTCAAGCAAAGACTACCCGCCGCCGCAGACGGATCGGGGGGCAAAATTCCGGCAAAAAGCCACCCAAAATCGAGGTTGATTCTAGAGACACCCCCGCGGCTGTTTCACTACCAATATCTAGGGTTATGTAGGTTTACAGGGTTATATAGGGTTATGTAGGTTTTATAGGGTTTTAAGGGTGTATAGGATTCATAAGGTTTGCAGGGTTACAGGGTTGGGGTTGTTATGGGGGGTGGGGGGGGGGGCTGGGGACAAAAACCCTGCAATAGCTTAAGCCTTAAATGCTAGACCCTAAACCCTAAATCCTGAACTCTGAACCCAAAAGGTTGGGTTTCGGCCTGAAGCGTAGGGTTTAGGGTCACTAAACCCTAAACCCTACACACTAACCCCGCCCGCCACCCCTCTCACCTCTGTTGGGTCGGCGGGCGTCGTCGAGCGCTCAGCGAGACCATGGCAGGCTCTGCTGAGCTGCCCACCGCACGCCTGAGGGTTCGCCAAGCTTGGTCGCCAAGCGCCCTTTGCCTTCTGGGCCATTTTTGACCTGGCCCTGAAACCCCGAGCCCCTCTAAAGGCTCTCCCGAGCGTCTGGCACGTGGGAGGCCCCCAGACCCTTTGGAAGGCTTCTCAGCCTTTTCGTTTTTTTGTTCGGGTATGCCTTCTGGCCCCAAGTGACTTTCAAAAACCTGGAGGCTGTTCACGCCTGTTGCGCAAAAACCTGAGGGGGGGGTCCTTTGCCTGCTGAGCACACCCTAGAATTTTCTATGAGAGGGTTTTTTTTTGGTCAAAGCGTAAAGGGGGGTTATTTTGCCTTCTGGCCCCAACTGAGGGAGATCCTTGGCACCCCTTCAAAAATCTGGAGGCTGCTCACACCCCTGGGTTTTCTGAGAGGGCCCCTCTGCCCTGCGCAAAATTGGGGGGATGTCCTTTGCCTTCTGGCCCCAAGTGACCCACAAGTCCAACCACTGAAAGCGGCCAGCAGGCGTTTCCTAGTGTCCTACGTCTCTCGAATCGCCCCATGTTCCAAGTGACCCAAAGCCAAGGTTCGCGAAGTTCGCCAAGAGTTGACAAGTCGCAAATGTGCCGAGCATTCTTTGTGTTCTAACCTAAGTGCCCTCTAAAAATGTGTCGCATGTGAGTTTTGAGTGGCTTTGGCTTGGCTTGGGCTGGCTCCGGTTTGGTTTCGCTGTTTTTTGTGATTGGGTGGCTTTGGGCTGGGCATGTCTTCATACTATTGCGTTCAGCTGACCGATGCTGCACCCTCAACCCTAAACCCTAAACCCTAAACCCTAAACCTTAAACCCTTAACCTTAAACCATAAACTCTCGAACCAAGGAGGAGTTCGCCGTGGCCGCCCAGGAGCTTCTAACGGCATACAGAGAGTAGACCCTATCCTCTGCCGCGGCGTGACGCCAGGTCACCCTACCCTTAGCAGCTACTCTGACACTAAACCCTAAACCCTAAACCCTAAGGCCGTAAGCCCGAAACGCTGAACCCAGTTGCATCTAGGGCTTCGGCGGAGGGTTTTGAACTTTATTTTTCAGGTCGCCCGCAAAACGGCGGTCGGGCCAGGCACAACGTGCCGATTTTTGTTATACTGCGTCTGACAATGTCCTAAACCCGAAACCCTAAACCCTAAACCCTAAACCCGAAGTCTTTGTCTTCGCAGCCCCATGCCTTCCATAGGAAGATGGGCGAAATGAGGGGAGCACACGCAGACCCCTTTGGTCAAAACGTGGTGTCAGGTTTTGGAGTTTTGGGTTTAGGGCTTAGGGTTTAGGGTTTAGGGCTCAGGGTTTAGGGTTTAGGGCTTAGGGTTTAGGGTTTAGGGCTTGGGGTTTAAGGTTTTGGGTTTTCGGTTCGTAGGGTTTGAGGGTTCAGGGGTCAGAGAGCTGAAGGTGAAGCAGTCGGAGTTTGGGGGGGTTTGAGGGGCTAATTAGGGTTTAGGGTTTAGGGTTTAGGGTTCAGGGTTTAGGGTTTAGTAGTTGAAAAGACCCGAGACCCTAAACCCTAAGCCCGAAACCCTACAAGAAATGGAAACCCTGGTAAGGATAAACGCAAACCCCTCACCCAAAACCCTAATCCAAAACCCGAAACCCAAAACCCTAACCCTAAACCCGAAGCCACACACGTTAATAGACAGTTTGTGGCTCTGGGGTTTAGGTTTAAGGCTTTAAGGGTTCAGGGTCTGCAAGAGGTGCGGCGGGAGGGGCCTGGACAACGAAAGCAAGCCAAAGCCCTAAACCTACACCAAAGCCACCCTTCAATCCTGGTCTCAAGGCACCCTAAAGCCCTAAACCTCCTAACCCCCAAACCCCAAAACCCCAAATCCTGAACCCTAAGCCCTAAACCCTAGACCGCCGTTTCGGGTTTTTAGGTTTGGGGGCTCAATCCCCCAAACCTTAGTCGCCTCACCCTGCGCGCCACCCTAAAACTCCGAAACCCCGCAAACCCCTTAAGAAGCCCCCTTAAAGGCCCCCTTAAAAGCCCCCTTAAAAGCCCTAAAAGCCCCCTTAAAAACCCCCTTAAAAGCCCCCTTAAAAGCCCCCTTAAAAGCCCCCCACTAAAGCCCGCTAAAAAGCCCCCTAAAAGCCCCCCCAAATCCCCCCCCAAAACCCTCTGCCGCGTCGGCTCTGTGGCTCAGCGCCCGCGGCGGCGCTGCCGTGGGTCCGCAGCTGAGGCCTTCCTCAAAAGGGCTGCGAAAAAGAAGAAAAATTGGGCCTAAACCCTAAACCCTAAACCCGAAACCCTGAACCCTGAACCCTGAACCCTGAACCCTGAACCCTGAACCCTGAACCCTGAACCCTAAACAGAACACCCTAAACCCTAAACCCTAAACCCGACACCCTGAACCCCAAACCCGAGAGATCTCCGACCTCCGGTTGTCTTGGCTGCCAGGGCCGCGCGGCGTGCGCGGAAGCCCTCCATGGAGCCCTCCATGGTGGGGAGATTCGGGTTGAGGGGTTTAGGGTTTAGGGTTTAGGGCCAGGGTTTAGGGCTAGGGTTTAGGGTTTAGGGCAAGTGTTTAGAGGTTTAGGGTTCATGGTTTAGGGTGGGTTTTAGGGTTTGGGGTTTTGGGTTTAAGGGTTTAGGGCTAAGGGTTTGGGGCAGGCAGTGTTTGGGGGTTTACGGTTTATGGTTTGGGGCTAGGGTTTTGGGGTTTAATAAGTTTAGGGGTGTAGGGTTGTCGGTTTTAGGGGTTGAGCGGTTAGGGGGTTTGGGGTTCAAGGTTTTAGGGTTTGGGTTTAGGGTTTGAGAGGGTTTGGGGTTGTAGGGATTTAGGGGGGTTTAGGGTTTCAGGGTCTAGGGGGTTGGGGTTTTACTGTCTAGGGGGGTTACGGTTTAGGGTTTTAGGGTTTAGGGGTTTAGGTTTTTTAGGGATTAGGGTTTTAATAGGGTTCAGGGATCAAGGGGTTAGGGGTTCAGGGGTTTAGGGTTTTAGTGTTGAACAAGGATTTATGGTTTGGGCGCTTTAGTGTCTTAGGGTTTAGGGCTTTAGGGGCTTAGGGTTTAGGGATCTAGGGGCTAGGGGTTTGGGGTTTTAGGGTTTAGGGTTCGGGCTCTGGGGTTTAGGGGTTTAGGGTTTAGGATTTGAGGGGTTAGGGGTGCACAGCTTTAGCGTTTTAGGGAGAGTCTAGGGGTTCAGGGATTAGGGGGTTGGGGTTTAGGGGTGGCTTTTAGGCTTCTAGGTTTGGGGCTCGGGTTTTGGCCTTCAGTTTTAGGATTTAGGGTTCGGGGTTGTTTAATTGTTAGGCGTGTAGGGTTTAGGGTTTGGGGGGTTCAGGGATTAACTAGGGGTTCAGGGTTCAGGGGATCAAGGGGTGTAGGCTTGTAAGGGTTCAGGATGGTGTTGGGGTTTAGCTAGGGTTTAGGGTTTAGGGTTTAGGGTTTAGGGTTTAGGGTTTAGGGTTTAGGGTTTAGGGTTTAGGGTTTAGGGTTTACGACTTATGCTTGCTCTGAGTGTGAAAGACGAGGCGGAGCCGATTCCTTGATTCCCCAGTATCCAACTGGAAGCAGAGGGTCGGGGATCTTTACGGTCTTTGCAGTTGGGTTTAGGGTTTAGGGTTTAGGGTTTAGGGTTTAGGGTTTAGGGTTTAGGGTTTAGGGTTTAGGGTTTAGGGTGCAGGGTAGGGTTGAGGGATTTGGGGTTTGGGGTTCCTTAGAAGGAAGGGGGCGGGCTTGTGTTCCACCAGGACGGTGCCCCGAGACTGACGTACAACAGCGCCTTCGGGCCGACGGCACTGTCGTGAGCTGTTTGGGAAGCTTCGGAGCCTTGTGGGGTCCTAACCCTTGCCGTGCGAGACTTGGGAAGCCGATTTTTTCAGGCCGATTTGGCCTACAAGCGCGTCATTCTGTTGGAGCCGTTCGCCACCGGCGCGGGAATCACCGGCGATGAGGCCGGCTTGGACAGCTACTGCCGCAGTAAGCCCAACAATTGGGCAGGCGCCGGCATCAAGCTGCCCAGCGCAGGGAACCTCTTTGTGGTACTTTACTGTAACTTTAGATCCTTGCCTTTTTTGGTTTTATTGGGTTTCTTATTAAGGCAGCTAAAAGTTTAATTCATAGCTACCCTCCTGAGTGCAGCCAAGAACCTGGTCTACTGGCTGTCACGTGGAGCGGAGCAGGGCAAGTTGAGCCAACCCATGGGGTGGTACCCTTGGGTTTGGGGACCCTATTTAAAGATCCCTATGGTAGCATATGGCCATATTAAGATGATATTCAGGGAAACCTTTTAGGGGTACAACCATAGGGGTGCGAGTCTTAAACCCTATACACCCCCCCTTCCCCTCACCCCTTAAGCCCCTCTCAAGGACCTTAAAAAGGGCCCAATGCCTCTTAAAAGGAGGGACATGAGTTTAGGGTTAAGGGTTGAGGGTGTAGGGGTTAGGGTTTATGGTTTTAGTGCTGTAGTCGGACTACCCTGTGTACGACCCCCTCATAGAAAGGCACCAAACCTTCGGAACCACGAGCGCGAGAGTGAGAAAGAGAGAAGAACCTAAACCCTAAACACTCAACCCGAAACCCCGAACCCTAAACCCTCAACCCAAACCCTAACCCCCAAACCACATTCTTCCTTAGACTGCCTATATGAGTATAACCATGGTATCATTCTATTGAATTCAGCATGTTTTTGCAGAACGCCACCTGCCCGGCTTGCGGCAATGTGTACGCGGACGACGCAGCGTTCTGCAGAAAGTGCGGCCGCAAGCGCGACGAGGTGGGGTCTGAGTGATGTATCAGCCGCAGGTAAGGGACATAATAGGTATGTCTGTACGTACGTATGTATGTATGTAGGCACGCACGTATGCATACACATACAGACGCATGAAACTGTATGTCACTTATACTTGCACCACTCTGCAAGTCTAGCGAGTCTAGTCCCGAGCTCCTAGAGCTCGGGCAGTTCCAGGCGATGAAAAGCCAAGCGATTAAGAGTGGCGTGACCGAGTCTGACATCGCAAGCTCCAAACGCAGAACCCCAAACAAGAACATTCACCCTAGAACCCTAAACCCTAAACCCCAAACCCTAAACCCTAAACCCTGAACCCTAAACCCTACTCAACCCCGAGCCACGAGCCCTAACCCTAAACCTTAGGATGTTCCCCCTTATACTAACAGTCCTTACTCGGGATTACAATAGGGGGTACTACCATCCCTATTGAGGAGCTGTTCGAATAAGGCGGGAACGTCCCAACCTAAACCCTCACACCCGGAGATCCCAGACCAAAACAAACACCCTAACCCCAAACCCTAAACCCCAAACCCCAAACCCCAAACCCTAAACCCTAAATCCTAAACCCCAAACCCTGAACCCAAAAACCACAAATTGTGGCAGGGTGGCCTTGGAATGTCCAGGGGCGCTGGCGGCGTCGCTGGGGGCCCCGGGAAAGGATTCGGTTTCGGGTTTTGGGTTGTGGGGTATAAATCAGGGTTTAGAGTTTGGGGGTTAGGGTTGAGGGTTTAGGGTTTGGGGGTTGGGGTTTGGGGACTGGGGTTTGGGGTTTAGGGTTTGTTTCTTTTGGGGTTTTGGGGGTTGAGGGGTCAAGGGATGAGGGGTTTGGCCTTTTAGGGTTTTGGGTTAAGGAGTTCAGGGTTCGGAGGTCAGGGTTAAGAGGTTTTAGGGTTTAGGGTTTAGGGTTTTGGGGTTTAGTTGTTTAGGGTTGAGGGTTTGGGGTTTTGGGGTCTAGGGGTTTGCGGATTTTGGGTTTCAGTGTTTTGGGTTCTTAGTAGTTTAGGGTTGAGGGCATGAATTAGGGTTTAGGGTCGAGGGTTGTGGCGGGCTTAGGTTTGAGGGTTTTTGAGTTATTTGGGGTTCAGGGTTTACCGTCTTGGGGTTTAGGAGTGCAGGGTTGAGGGTTTAGGGTTTTTGGGTTCTAGGGGTTTTT